GCATCATCTTCACTAAGATTCTCTAAGATATCCCTCGCTTCTTCTTCAGTTAGCCCTGTACCTGCACCCTCAAGGAAATCGTCCAGCGGCTCCTCCTTGGAGAGATCTACCTCATCTAAGGGGTCTGGAATTTCGGGCATGCCGTGCAAACGAGGAAAGCGATACGAAGCAGCTAGAAAATACTTGAACTTCTTCGGCGCCTTTGACCTACCTTCCGGGTCAACAGCTGGCACCTTCAGAGGTCCACAGACATCCGCAGACAGAGTGAACTGCGAGGGGTGAGTCACACCAACGTGGCGGCGTCCTGAGGCGGCAGTTCTGATGCACACACTACAGTCCTTCCGAAACGGTTGGTGATTATTCTTCACATGATCCCTCCAAGCCTGTTCGTCTGCCTTTGTTTTAGCAATGCGGAACCACCTAGACCAGTTTTGGATGCTCATGCTCACGGCTTGGGCAAAACCAGGGGCCCATCGAGCTGACTCATGGGACTTGCGATGCAAATGAGGCATGCCACTGCTCTCACTCTCAGGCTCTGCAGCGGCTGCCTGCACAGTGACACCACGCAAACCCTTGTCAAGGCTTAGGGTCTCTAGGTACTGCAAATCACCATAGTTCGTGCCTAAGGTCGTAGGCCTACTTATCACATGCTCTAAATCCCCCTTGTAGACATGAACTTCAAACAACCCTGCTTCATCGGCATAGGAATTCCAAAGTCCAGTATTCCAAAAACTAGGGACCTGACCAAACAAGGCATGCGAAGGAGGCACATAGCGATCAATAAGCATCGGGTGCTCAAGCAGAAAACCAACCTCAAGCCTGGTAGTTCCAGCTGGCGGCCTAACCTTGCGACCTGCAGTCGCCACAGCATGCAACCAAATCTGTCGGCAAAGCAAAGCCGTTTCACGATCAACCTTCGACCGTTGTGCTGCTGACAAATCTGGAAGGCCATATAAGTCCAATGGCCCGCGCACAGGTGGGACAACGCTACTCCCATGAGCATGTGTGTCAAACGTACCACGCGGTGGAGCACCAAGAAGATGCGACACTTTGCCGTGGACGGCACCCCAAACTAGAGCGCGCCAAGCAGGAGTGCGTAGCACATCTTGGTCTGAGCCTCTGGTAATGTCCAATTCCAGGACAGCCACATTCTTGGACTCAAGGTGCGAAAAGGGTTTAGGGCCTGGGGCTCCAGCGTACAGATGAACAATCCACTCTGGGGCATTGAGCAATGCACGACGGCGACGCCGATTGAGATGCGTCAAACCCTTTAGGAGCTCCCATCCTGAAACCTGAGCAACATCCTCAACAAGTCCCTGCAAAGCTGCTTGGGGAACATCTGCCAAGAAAGGCGCGGCCTGCAACGCTAGTTGGGCTGAATTGGTAGATCCAAGGCTCACATAGTCCTGCATGTGATCCCACCAGCTCTTTGACATCAAGGCTTTGACAGCTCGGATGCGAGAGGTACCTTCGGCCACATTCGCCTCCAGAGACTTCAAGTCCTCTAGCCGCTTTTCTTCTAGCTTGCTGATTAGCACCAAGGCTTCTGATTCCATGATCTCTGGACACCCACCTTTAACCCTCAAGCGAAAGGCACGACCCGAAGGAGCAATCAAACGGCATCGCGAGGCAGTCCAATCCAAACGATACCCCAGCTGCTGGATGACAGAACCCAGCGGCACGATGGTTTGGGCACTAGATGTGGGAGGCAACAGAAGAGTACCAGCAGCAGACAAACGCATAGCCGAAGTCTCCTTTCCAGCCAGTGACACGACAACGGGTTGCGCACTAGCCCATTCAGCTTCGGAACTTGCAGCGCGAAGGGCATGAGTGGCCCCACTGTCTACCAAAGCCAAAAAACTAGGACTACCATCTACTTCCAAAACCTGCCCAGGCTCAATGGCTGTGAGATGGATGGTCTTAATGCTCGCTTTAGGCTCCTCCTGTGCTGCAGGTTTGTCTTCAATCGCCGGAGGCTGCGCGGGAGCGGCTGGGGTGGATGCAGGAGGAAAGGCTTCGGAAGAACTGGCAGCTGCAAACATCATGCGCATAAACGCTGTGAAGTCCTCCGCTCGGCCTGGGCTCGCGCCCGGCTGGATTGCAGTAGACGCCTGATCAGCCGTTGTAGGCCTGTGGCCTGCAGCATTGTTGGTGTTTCCTCCACCTGGCTGTCCTTTCCCCTTTGGGCTTCCTCCAGCTACCGGGCAGTCCTTTTGGCGGTGTGCCTCAGAGCCACATGCTAAGCACTTTTTGCTGCGCTCCTGACGAGAAAGTCCTGACATGTCGTGGCTAAACGTGCACTTAGGACCCCGCCTACACCCCGAAGTACCCATGAAAAACTTGCAGGGCTTTGAAGCCTGCGGCTGCCCACTGGCCTTTGGAGATGTTCCCGGACTGGGCGTGCCTACAGCTCGAACCTTAGGGGCACTCACACCTGTGGCCTTAGAGACTGCAAGGGCTTCCATCTCTGCAAGCAAGTGCTTGTGGTACTCCAGGACTGCAGACGAAGTTGGTTGAGCATCCATTTTTAACATGGAACGAAGCATAAACGTTCGAAACTTCGCTTCTTCATGCTGCGCCAAAACTTGGCTAGTGATGGTAGTGAGGCTCTTGGACAAAATGGTCGAGTCCGGAGGTGACATGTTGCAACTTTCACAGCGATTGTACCAACGAATCCACTCACGCAAAGACTTCACGGCTGAGGAGGGATCAGATGCTGGAGTGGGCTGCATGAGATTCTTCTGAATAACCTCCTTTTCTGAACCTCCACCTGGTTGGTACGTGGTGTGCAAACGGAAAAGGATGGAAGGAGCTGATTGATTGCATTTGCGGGCCACAATGTCTGCTTTGATAGACTCGGGGACTGCCGCCATAAGCATACTACAGATCCTAAAGTTGACACGCGCCCATCGCCCTTGAAGCAACTCAGCCGGTACAACGGGCTCAACCTTTAGCCTATCCAAGGGTGATGACGAAATCCAAACCCCATAGGCCGTATCAACCACACCCAAAACCTGACGCCACCACTCTGCTGCTGTGTCCGAAACATCACCGACCAAACCCCCAATCACAACTAACCAATCTTGGTACAGAAGAGACCCTTCATCCGAAGTGAGCTCTGCCAAAGCTGGGAAACTCGAGATGCCTGGCTTAACAGCTTCAGGGTTGGTGGGAGAATTGCCGCCATCGCGTTCGGCACGAGATCCCTTGAGCATCTCTGACATGGCATCTTGAAGTTGATGCATCCCAGCAATCAGTATCTCACGATCTGTGGGTCCTGATGCACTCGCGGCTCCTGCTGGCAGTGTGCCTCTGGGTTCTGCTTGTGGCCTCTGCGGTGCAGGGCTGGAAGACCGCGCACCGGAACCAAGGAGCCCTGAGAACAAACCAGCGAAGCCCTGAGGCTCGGGAGCGGAAGGAGGCGGAGGAGGAGGCGGTGAGGATGAAGAAGGGGCAAATCCAACCCCAGTGTTGGCGACAGGATGCGAACCGAACCCACTATCACCAAACCCACTAAAGCCAACCTCCCTAGTACCCACCTGCTGCAACGCCGTAGCCTCAACTTCACCAGCCTGCTGAGACCGAATCCTCGAGAGTTCGGCCTCAGCACGACCAGCTCTCTCTTGCTCAGCTCGCAGTTGCTGCTTCAACCCATCAAGCTGTCGCGCGACTTCTGCCTGAATCGCATCATGCGGAATAGATGAGGACTCGGTGTGCGGAGGCCTGTCCGGAGACCCGGACCCGTAGAGCAAGGGAGCTCTTTGCTCCATGGCAGCAAGCTGCTGCGCGTTGGCACCAGTGAACAACGGCATCGGCACTTGACACTCATCTTGCAGGACGCGGCCTCCTCTCTCGAGGGGCTGTAGTGGTCGCGACGGCCTTGGAGGAGAAGTCAGTGGACTGGGAGCCCACCCTTGCGGCAGTGGCTGTACGTTCGCCGCGCCACCAAACAGAGACTGCACTCTTCCTAGCAACTGACTAGCAAAAGCCTGAGCCCCAGTCTGCATGACCGCTGACGCCCCGTACGCCGTTGATCTGGGCGTTTCAAAGCCCTCAGCACTACTTCCAGGATTCGCTGCAGATGGGTTGTACCCTGAGACGCCTGCGGCAACATTGATCTGAGCGCTAGCCATTCCACTTTCGGTGGCCACACTGAAACCCTGAGTCACTGCAGTTGCATCTCCATGCACCCCACTCGCATCGGCGACCTCCGTGGTAGATACTGCTTCATACGTAACGCCAGCTGTGCCCAAGCCTCCAACCTGGCCTAGTGTTCCATCGCCTCCTGTCCTACCGACTGCTGAAACTCTCGGTTGACCGGCTGTTCCAACAGTTTCTTGTGGCAGCTGAGGGGATAGCACTGGACCAGCTGTGGAAGTCGATGGCCCCGACGACGCATCCATCATAGTTTGCTGGATTCCATCCCCAATAGGCTGCGCAAGCCCAGAGGGCGATGGCACTCCAACTCCGGCGGTTGTACCATTCACTGTAGTCTGCGGTGCATCCCCGCCTCCCCGCACTCCAGGCAGAGAGGCCGGAGAAGCCACCGCTCCGGTTGCTTCTGGCCCAGGCGTTGGGCTCATCACCTGTTGAAGGTGTTCACCCTGGGTGGCCATACCCTGCAGCGAAGCTCACGCAGAATGTTTTCTATGGCTGGGCGCAGAGGCGACTCACGATCTCAACGAAGCAACAAGAGAACCGACAAACCAACAAACGACCTGTACAGCTTTACAAGTTGTTGGTTACAGTACACATGGCTCAAGAGGCTTTCCTACGCAGCCTTCCCCTAAGCCAAAGGATACAGGAAACACACATGTACAAGCCTACCTGAAGGAAACTATACAAGTGCCGGCAATCCCTTCAAGCAGACTACACACCTGTCTAACCTGATACCTGGGCATGCAGTGAGAAGCATTTCAACACTGACCCTCAACCCCTTCAAACCCCGATAACTCATAGAGCTAGCCATCGGACGAAGACTTGGAGTCAGAAAGCCCCAGGTTCCACTGCCCGGCGTTCACGAAGACGAGCAGGCTATGGGTCCCATGCAGGGGTTTGTTTCGGGGCTTTTGAGGGTTCCAGGCGTTTGTTTCGGGGGTTTTGAGGGTTCCTTGGGGTTTCTGGAGGTTTGTAAGGGCTTGCCTTGTTCTCTGTAGGTTTGGAATCTCGGGGTTGTTAAGTCTGTGGTATTTGGGAGTTTCCGAGAATTTGGGGTACCTTATATGGGGTCCTTATTAATAAGGATCCTACTATTTAAGGTACTATACTAGGGTCCCCTATTTTTGGAAACTCCCATTGGGGCTTCAGGGCCTAAGACTTAGGCGCGGGGTTGGAGCATAGGCCCGGCCTAGCCTGGAGCCGTAAGCCCTTTTGTTTTAGATTTCTGGGTCTATAGGGTTTAGGGTTTAGGGTTTAGGGTTTAGGGCTATGGCTAAGAATGAAAGGGCCTTTGAGTTCAGGTTCTACGCTAGGGCTGGGCGGCTGGGGACTTCAGGGAGAAGAAGTCTTAGGCCAGGGGGTGCAAGTCAGTGCACCTAGGACCTCGAAGCAGTGGTCAATACTCCGACGCTCCGGTATCCGAGCAACGGGCATTCTAATATTGCGAGAACTCCAGTACATCTAGAAGCTTGGACATGGACAACAACACGAAACCACCAACTTCCCTGACCTCAAGAAGAAGCCAGACTGAGAGCATGTGGCTGTCGGGCGAAGGTTGGCGTCGTACCTGGTTTCACTTGTTAATCTGGGAGTTTCTCAGCACCACGAAGGACCCTAAAGATGAACTAAAACGTCTGAAGCGCAGAAGCCCAAAAGTTCTACGGCCTTAGGACGCCAAAGCCCTTAAACGCATAAAGCTTTAGCCCGAAACTCTAGGAAGCACTTCAACCCCCATGCCCAAAGCTGTGAAAGTCAGGTCCCAGTGCCCACGGAACCTGCTCCCTCAGAGAGGTGCGGGAAATTGCAGGGTTGCGGGCTTGAGGTTGAGGTGGTAGCAGGATTTGCGTGCTTCATGAACTCTTGACTTTTGTTTCCTCGGGTCTACGGGAAACGAGCACAGGGCTTAGGGTCCAGAGATGCAGCAATGGTAGAAGTACCAGCGGTATTGTGGGTTTCTTTGGTGCCAATATTGTGAATGATGACGATTGATTGTTCCTGCACCTGGAGATCACAACTGGTAAATCTCGAGCTCTAAGAGGCTTTAATGTTTAAGCCTGCCAAGATCTCTTGCTCATTTTCATGTTCATCATCACCATCACCATCCCCATCATCATCATCATCATCATCATCAGCATCATCACCAGTACCATCACCATCAGAATCACCGTCACCATTACCGTCATCCTCATCCTCATCCCCATCCCCATCCTCCTCCTCCTCCTCATCATGGTTGCCAAAGTAGGTGGTGCAAGGTTTCCTCCATCCACCATAGCAGTGGTCGTCTACGTTACGTGGTTGTCATAATATGCAATTGAGGGTTGCTACCACGGTGACGACTGATGCAGCAGCAGCCGCCCTCATAGCACGAGTGATCCGTACGATCGTAGCAGCACCAGTGGGAGCATGAATCAGTCATGGCGGTGAGATGACCGTCATAACCATATTCATGCGGGTGATGCTCATGTTGTTTGAATAGTGACAACAGATTGCTCTCCCGAAGAACCAGTAAGGTGAGGGACTAAAGCATCAGATTCGTATACGGAAGAAGCAACAAAATATGACTGCAGAAGCAGAATTCGGTGTTAACGCTAGCAGGAACCCAGCGAAGAACAAGATGAGCCGTCCTGAACCCCGCAAACTGGTCCACCCCAAACCCTAAAAAGAAGCCTAATTCATTTTGACGACAGCCGCACCCTTGTCCTCCAAAGCCTTGATCCCACGGTGCGCGGAGGTTCCCATATGCGATGAAAGAGGAGGACCTCTTCTTTATTGTCGACTTCCAACCCTAAAGCCCTAAACACACCTCCTTAAACCATCTTAAAGTTAGTAACACAGTACAAGGGATATTCCTCAGTTCAAGTAATTTTGGAACTCCGGGGTGGGGCAGGCGTCTCAGAGTTTCGGAAGGAGGCGCGCGACTTGAGGTCTTTTCTTCGATTCTTATGCGAAGCTTTGGTTGGCGATTGGTTAGACGTATTGCTTTCGGGTGTAGGGTTGAGAGCAGCCCTGAATTTTGAAAGCCCCAGCCCCAAGCCGTGGAACCTCAAGAGATTCAGCGTTTAGGCTCGCAATTTGGTTTCAATCTTGACAACTTTCATGTGGCTTTGAGGGTGGCTCCCTTACTCCCGAGTTTTTTGGGGAGGGCGGCGCCAATGATGTAGAAGCCTTTTTGCAATTTTGCACCCTGAACCACTTTACAGCCAAGAAGAGAGTACGGAGACTCGTATGGAGTTCCTGAGTCATAGAACTTTGTAGACTACAAAACCGCTTGTGCCGTCGAGCTGCAACCCTGGAGCCAGAGCCTGGCAAACACAGAGCATCCAGCCTAACACCCTAGACTTGTAACAATAGTAATAACAGTAATAATAGTAAAAATAGTAATAATAGTAATAATAGTAATAATAGTAATAATAGTAATGATAGTAATGATAGTAATAATAGTATTAAAAGGAATCCTAAGCCCTTTGGCCCGGCCGTATACTGTAGTACGTGCAGCACATGCATGTGTCTACATGTTGTACTACATAGGCAAGCAATGAAGTATGCATGCAGGCATGTAGAGGTGTATACGTATAAATGCATACACACCCACATGTATGTGTGTACAGGTGGATGGATGCATAGATAGATAGATGGGTAGGTACGTTGGTATATAGGCCGGTAGGTCGGTAGGTAAGTAGCAACCGAGTCATCGAGATCCTTCGGAGGAAGTTCCTATGCCGACCTCGCCAGCCCCCTCCTCACCCGGTGCAGACAGGAGGCGCCAGGGTGTTCTTAGTTTTCAGGGTTGTGGGTTCAGGACTCAAGCCCGCCGAACCTTGCCGAACCTTGAACTCAAGAGACTTAGGAAGGAGGGAAAAAGCATAGCCCAAGACGAGTGAATTTTCCATCCCCTGAAGCCTAAATCCTTAAGCCGTAGACCATTCCGATAACCGGCATGCTAAGTCCCGAAACCGTCCACCTCGAACCCTGTAATGCCTGTAAGCCCTCAACATCCCTCAACCCAAGATCCCACACCTCATCCGCTGAACCCTGGACCGCTAGCCCTAGCCCTAAGCCCTGAACCCCATACTCTAGCCCGAGGTGTGAGGCTCGAGAGCCGAAGGAGTGCAGCATCCAGCTTTTGGGCTTAGGGTTCAGGTAGAATCTGCCACCATCTTTTCTCGTGGACTTTCAGACCTTCGTATCCTAAATCCTTCGCGGCCTTTTTGCATCGCGCCATTGACCAAGGCGATTTGCATATTCGGTCCGTTCTTGGGAAGGAGCAACAGTTGGTTTCCCCCTAAGCCAGACTCAACCTTAAATCCGAAACCTGAGCGCCCTAAGCCTGAAGGCCCTAAACCCTCACGCCCTGTACAGGGAGCTGCCGGTGCCAACTTCCCCAATCGCTTCAGAGTTTGGCGAGGAAGACAGGCCGGACGTTTGGGGATTGGGGTTTAGGGTTTGGGGCTTGGGGTTTGAGGCTTAGGTTTCGTTTCGAGTATAGAGGTTTAGGGTTTTGTCACCATGCTCAGGGTTACTTTAAGGCTACTGGGCTATGAGGTTTAGAGTTTTGGGTCTAGGGTTTCAAGCTTTGGTTCCCGCTAAGGTTCCTTCAAGGTTATATGGCGCTTTCGAGGGGTTCATGGGGTTCTACATGCGTTTCAGGGCTTGGTATCAGGCCGTGGATGTTGATGTCAAGGGTTTAGTGCTTCTCACGTTGAAGGGTTCTGCAACGGCTGAACGCTCTCGGCACCCCAAAGCCCAAACGACCACATCAACGTCAGGTCTTCTGTGGGTCTGACACGTCTGGCTATCAAAAGCCTGAATGATGCTGTTCGAATATAGGGTTCGCCTAAACGACGTGTTCATACATCCTGTTTATGTCCAGCATCCGGAGATTTGAATCCGAAGTCCCGGCAGGTCTGGCATCCAAAGCAGGGTTCAAGGGTTTCGGGTTGCAGATTGAAGCTTTTCGAGCTGAAGGCGCGCTTGGAGCACCGGATTTCAAAAGGCCTCGATGCTATCACAAACGGTCACTTCCAAGCTGAAATTCATCCCGGGTTCTGAAATCCGGCTGCAATTAATATCCCGCCCTTCTGGAGCCGTGCCGTTCCCGAGACAGGCGACATTTTCTTGCGACAGCGCCCGAACCCTCAAACCAGGGTCACGGCTCCATAAGTTTATGCAGGAACGCCACTGCTACAAAACTCTGAAAACGTCCGCGTCAAGCATTATGTCGTCACCTGTGGCATGTCCTGAGAAAGGTGCAAACTTGATCCTTGGAATCATAGCAGCCCGTGCTGCTTTGCAGTCGGGTGGAACCCATGGAGGCTATAGTCTTGGGGGCTCAAGCCACCCAAAAAGACCGCAAGTATCCTTTTGAGTCCTCAGTCCTTTACCCTATTCGCAAAACGGCCCCAAAGCACACCCACACCTTGAGCGGCGCCCGCCGTGCTTCACCGTTGCAGGCGGTTGGGCTACGGCGGCGAGGCGGGGACGAAGCTCTTAGGGTTTTCGGGTTCAATTTTCAGCGCGTTCAGGGTTTAGGGTTCAATGTGAGTTCTTCCATTTCAGTTTAGATTTATCCATCAAGTTCTCCACAACCCGACCCATTTCATGTAGTGCTGCTCCGGCAGTTCAACTTTTTCTTTGGGTATTGGGGACAAGGATGCCCCAAAAGTCTAAGCCCATCAGTCAAATTCACACCATAGTACAGATGTACCCGAGACTTCATTCTTTCATAAAGGCCCCTATATCTCCCTGAAAACCCTAAATCCTAAACCCTAAACCCTTAAGAGGATCTGAAAATCAAAACAGCAAACCTCGAGCTCCCTTTGGGGTTTCGCTCGGGAGCAGGAGTGGGTGTTTATGGAAAAGGAAAGGCTACTACAAGGGATCTATAGCAGGGTTCTATGACATAGGGGCCTTAATAATTAGAATGGGGATTTGGGGTAGATTATAGGGGTGCTGTTCTAGGAATTTGCCCTTTGAGTGTGCATTTATCTGAGGCCCAACGGCTGTACACATTTTTCACCCATAGTCGATATCAAGCTAGAAGCCGAAAAGCATGACCCCCAACTCAACACTCCAATGAGTACAGCACCTAGGCCAATCCCAAACCGAAAAGCCTGAAATCCAAAATCCTCATATTCTGGGGTTTGGGGGTTTGATGCGGGCTTCGGGCCTTAGGCCGCAGTGCTTTGCAACACTGCCCTGGGTCCCAGTACGCAACCTCTCAACTTCTTGGTTTGTGATTGTTCAGTATTCGGGTATCCATTTAGTTCCGAGGGCGGTGAGGGAAATGAGACTCCCACAAAAACCCTAAACCTTGAAATCCGACACCCCAAAACTACACACTGCAGGCTTAAACTCTTAACCCCAAACCCCACGCCCAAGCGAAATCCCCAATCCCAGTATCCTAGACGGCAAATGCACGACAACCCCTGAGTTGCTAAATCTTGTCACAAGGCATTTAAAGGGACGCAAAGCCCTCTTGAATCTAAAGGCTTTCCGAAGGCCCAAGACAGCTCGAAACGGGACATGGGGATGTGGTTCATAAGGGCTCTTCAAGTCTATGAGGGTTCATTTATTTCAGGCTGAAGAAAGGTTCAGGTTAGTAGGGGACGACAGGGCGGAAAGTCCGGGGTTGTGGGAGGGAAATCTTACGAAAGGTCAGGCATGAGGGCTCCTTTCACATATTTGGGCTTCGGGCTTTGGGAAATTGGGCTCTGCCGTAAGCCCTAAGCCTTGAATCGCACTGACTTCCTTCTCTCCCCTGACTTGTGCAGCAGCCAAAGCCTACCAAGAGTCACTTGTCAGGTTCGTGCTAGCTTAGTGGAGAATACACCCGATGCTGAAACCCTAAACCTTGAAACCCTTGAGCCTCAAACCCTGAACCTCGAGACCTTCAGGATGTGCCCGTGCCTACATCTCCAGTTGCTTCTGACGACGGGCCCCTCGTCATGCACGAAGTATTTACAGTATGGTCTTGAGGTTTGTTGGGTGTTTTTGTTTTTGGGTTTAGGAAGAGGGCTTTATGGGGGTATCTACAAAGACCAGCTGTAGAGCAATGATCCAAGAAAGAGGTTGTTACCCCAAACCCTAAATCCCACACCACAGACCAAAAATTCCCCAACCCAGAACTGAGAGCTGCCCTTATAGAACTCCCTAAAGATCCCTTCAAGGAATTCTAAAGAATCCCTTTAGCCGTAAAGGAACCCTAAACGCGGATCCCTTGAAAGCATCCATGGCCCTGGCAGGTACTACGCCGAGGACCGGCCGGGGTGGATCGAGGGTTCAGAGTTTAGGGTTTAGGGATTAGGTGATTAGTGATTCGGGTTCAGGGTTTAAGGTTTAGGGTTTAGGGTTTAGGGCTCCGGAGTTCGGATTTAGCTTCGGGGCTCGGAATGCTTTGCATCGAGCGATTCGGATAACAGCGCTTCTTTGGATCATCCTCCCTGGGAAACTTGGGGTCGAGGGTCTCAGGCTCACTAGAGTGCGGTATTCTGCATGGTAGGGAGTAAACACCAATTCTCACGGCGATGCCATTTTGGGCTTGACGCTGATGTGCTGCGATGAGCACCCGCGGCTTCAGGATCTCAAGCGTCGCATGGAGTCCAACCCGGACAACCGCACGTTCGCGCAGTTGTTGCTGGAGCAGCGGAACAGCGAAGCTGCAGCTCCATCAGCTCCTCGTTAAGGGTCCGTAGGGGCAGGGAAAGACTGTTCACAAGCAGCATGGCATGATAGGACTTGTAGGATGACACCGGAACCCTAAACCTTCAGTTTCTGTTCCCTCGTATACCCGAAAAGCCTGGCTCCTAAACCCCACGACCCTCAACTTCTCGACACTAAGCTCTGCCCTAAATCCCAGACCTGGGGCAGGGCTTAACCCTGAGCCCTAAATTGTAAACCCTTACCTAAAGGCCCTCAACCTTAAACCCTAAACCCTAAGCCCTAAGTCCTAAATCCTAAACCTTTAAACCCTAAAGGCCCTAAACCTTAAACCGTAAACCCTAAGCCCTAAGTCCTAAATCCTAAACCCTTAAACCCTAAAGGCCCTAAACCTTAAACCCTAAGTCCTAAGTCCTAAATCCGAAACCCTTACCTAAAGGCCCTGAACCTTAAACCCTAAAGACTAAGTCCTAAGTCTTAATTTGTAAACCCTTAAACCCTAAAGGCCCTAAACCTTAAACCCTAAACCCTAAACCCTAAGTCCTAAGTCCTAAACCCTCAAACCTGGCCCTTGGGCCGTGGGGGTGCTGGTGCTGGAATCAGCTCCGCAGGGGTCCGCTCATGATATATTGGCCAAAATAATTACCTACACTATTTTGGGGGTTCCTTTCGATAATTCTAGTATAATTGGCCCCAAGACCCTATTCTAGTTATGGAGGCCCCTATGCTATCAGCGTTGCAGAGTTAGTTTGCCATGCAGTGTGATAGCACTATCGGCGCTCAAGCGACTTCGTAGGCTATAGCTGGTTTTACAGAAGGTTGGAGGGTTCGTCGGCTCTGGATCTTTTAGTTTTTTGGCATGGTTTTCGGGAGTTGAGAGCTTTACTGAGCGGCTCAAAGGACTTAGTAAGTAGGTTATATGTGGGTTTGCAGCCCTAAGGCCCTAGAACCTACTTCGCAAGTCTCCGCGTACAAGCGCAGGACGTGCCGATTCCCACATCGCCGGTAGACTCTCCAGCCGGCGAAGACAGGCCACCGAGTGTGGATTAGGAGCCCTGAACCGTAGAAGCCATGAAGCCTACATTCCCAAACACCGAAACAATAAAGCTATTAACCCAAACGGTGCTGGAATACCTAAACCCTAAACTCTGAAACCGTAAGCACCCCCCCACACCTTACGAGGCTCCTTAGACACCAAAGCCCCACAGCCCTAAAGCCTTAAACCCTGATCTCTGCATGCTTTGGTGCTTCCAGGTTTCAGCATCGACTCCTGTTTGGGGTTTCAGGTGTTCAGGCTTTCAAGGACCTTATAGAGAGTCTCGCCCGGGAGTTACTGGGTTTCATACATAGCCTTCAGCATGGAGCTGGGGTTCTTTCGGGGTTTACAAGACGGCTGAGGGTTCAGGATTTCGGGTTGAGGGCTAAACCCTAACCCCTAACGCCTAAACAACCTCAACCTTTTTCAATAAGTTGGTCTTGGGCCTTAACCCCCCGAGCCGAAAACCAAGACTAGGGCGGTCAGCCTGGTAATCGCGAGGCTTCCTTTTGAAGCCCTTGGCATGCCTTTTCCTGGTCTCTGCGAATGCAGGCGTCCAGCTGTCCATCCAGAGGACCGGGAGGACGGGTGGCATTGGATCTGGACTTGTTATGTCTAATTGCGACTACAGGGTTTACAGGGTTTGTGCGGTGTAAGGGTTCAAAGTTTAGGGCTGCATGGGGTCTGCGGTTTAGGATTTACACTTCAGGGTTGAGGGTATTTGTAAGAGCAGATTACAGGGTCTTGGGTTTAAAGTCTTTGCAGCACAAGACAGCGACTGCAAGCAACTCCGAGCAAAGCACAAACAGCGGTTACCAACAAAATTCACAAAGACTACGCATTCACAGTAGTAGCAAAAACCAACATTCCCCGCTCCAGTCATTTCAAACGGACATTTCGATGGCAACGACATGAGCATGTAAAGCGAGAACGGTGTTGGTGTTGTGGCAGTACAGCCTAGAAGCTAAACTCTCTCGTTGATGCATTTAAACCATAAGCTTTAAATGCTAAAAACCCTCAATCCGAAAAGCTACATATCAAATCCGCGATGGCTTGCGTAACACAAGAGGCGGTAGCTCGCGTACCACAAGAGACGGTCACAGCCCAAAGCCGAGTGCTTCGTATTGAGGTTTAGGGTGTTGGGTTTAGAGCAGCCCTACAGCTTTCAGGCCCCAGCACCCTAAAGCCCAAAAGTCCAACCATTTATCTATTCGATTCTTGCGGAAGTAGATTCAGCCCACGCGTAGGGCACCTCAAGCAGGTCCCCGTTCCGACGTCGCCGGTGCAGTCACCAGCTGACGACGATGAACACAGGCAGCGGAGAGTTTTATGGTTTAGGGCCCGCAAGCCTAAACTCAACACCTTGACTTGAGGGCTTGGGGGTTTAGGGTTAGGGTTCTCGGGTTAGGTGTCTGGGGCCCTTGGGAGTTTAAGCTTTGATGGTCATGCTTCGGCAGGCTGTGTTAGACATAAGCCCTTGCGGCTCGTTGTTTTTGTTCAGTTCTGGGTTGGGGTCTGCTGTGCAGGCCTGGCGTTCGACCGGGATGTGGGGTGTAGGAAACTATAACCATATCGGGAATGCACAGAGACACTGAGGCAACCCTGTTGAGGTTCCAGCATCAGGCACAGGCATAGGAACCACCCCAAAGTACTCGAAATCCTAGACCTCGCAACCCTGGACCTTGTTCCCAAACTGCTCGAAGCTCTTCCTAGTTGGCTGTTCTTTGAGGCCACCCGTGGTGCCGGTCTCGTCGGGCCACATGTCCAGCGGGATGCTGTCGGCACAATCGGAAAGTGGCTCGGCTTAAGGGTTCAGTTGTCGATCATGATCAGCACGAGAAAGAATGGTAAGATGAGTTAGATCTATCATCATGATCACCGGCATCGCCACCACCCCGCATGACCATCAATGCCACCGTTACAATCACCTTCTCCACCGTCATCGTCATCATCATCATCATCAACATCATCATCGGCAACTCCATTCTCACCATCGCCATCGGTGCTAGTCACAATTTTAAGGTTAACTGAGTCCCAGTAGGCCCTGTCGTTGACAGCTTCTAGGCTGATCTACGTAGAACGGGAGGATTCATTCTTCAGGCTGCACGGTGTAGGATATTGCAAAGCTTGGTCCTGTGCCGGCTTCAGGGTTCCTTCCAGGGTTCCTTTCAGGTTTGCTCGGGGGGTTACTAGTACCATATGGGTTCCCATAAAAGGTTCCTACATGTCGAGTTTTGGGTTTAGAACTACCGCCGTGGTGCTCCCCCAAAACCAGACCCCTCAAACCTACACCCAAAAAACGCAGACCCCCAACCCTGAGAAAGAGCCCACAGCACTTTGAAATCAAAAAGCCTGCCATTCCCACATCCTCAAAGCTCCCCACAGCCTGCTGCTAAATTCCGAGAAGAGCAAATCGCCAAAAGAACCCCTAAAGACCCGTATCATCTACTTATAAGCCCATTATGAGGCTCTTAAAGCCCCATAACACCTTCTCAGACTAGAGTGAACGCGGAACCTCCTTTCAGAAAGACGAAGGCGCCGACGAGCCAACGGAGTCCCCGAGTGAAGAGGTGCCTGCGCCGACGGAGGCCACACTGGGAGGGCTTTTTTTCAGGTTCCCCAAGGAGTCCTGCATTGCCGTGGGGGCTTAGAACGTATCACTGCAGGGCCTAGACACCAGGCTTTACAGCATAAGGATTTAATCTAGAGGCCTTAATAATTAGAACAGGGTTTTGGGGTTCCTTATTATGATTATGTATAATATTTCCCCCAAACCCTATTCTAACTATTAAGGCCTCTAGTTATTAAAGCCCCTACATTAGTCGGCTCGGGAGCCCGTAAGAGGTTTTGGGCTTTGCTTGTTCTGGGCTCAGGCGCTACGTGCTCAGATCCAATCATCGCCATACATAGCAGACCACTTTAAATCCTTAATTTTACGAAGCACCGGAAGAAACGTCCATAAGCTTCATAAACCCTAAAATTTCAAAGGTATTCTCCAAAGTCAAAGCTGTGCCGTTCTTGAACCTAGGTTTGTGGGTTTTTGTCTCGTATGATTGCTCACAGGAACAGAGCAGTATTCCCAGGATGGAGCGAAAGTGAAAGTTCTGAAGATCAGCAGGAGCAATTTCTTAAAGGGCCTCCACGAACAGCACAGACAACTCCCTTGCAGGTGCACGATGGGCCGGGTGAAGAGCCACCGAGTTTTGAGGAGGTGGAGTTCTTGCTGGATGAGGTGGGCTTAACGAACACAGGAACAATCTTTTCCAGGATTCCATGTTTCAAATCATAGCGGCCGTCAGGACTTTGGAATTTCGTGAGAAGGTAGTTTAGAAGGGCTATTTGGGTCTTGCTGGGTTCCTTTCAGCGTTGCTAGGAGGGCTAGGGATCTCGGGGTTGGGGGCTTAGGAGTCCTTTGGCAGGCTTTGCGTCTCTGCAAGCTGCAGCTATGATTCGAAGAACTGCGCCCGAACCCTGAATCGTACCTAAACCCTAAGAAGCACTGAATCCAAACTAAACCCCAAGGCATGTAAGACACGGCTGTGGACACTGAACACTGGCTAAGCCAAAAGCAACTTCAAGCAAACATCCCTGCAACACCGAGACGAGAAAACCTCTGCGGATCCCTCGTCAAGCCGCGCAAAACCCTTGCAGACCCCTGCAAAGCACTTACAGAACCCAAAGAGCAGTTAATACGAGAGATTTCGGTTATTCCGGATCTTCCCTCTTAGGAGTGCTCGTGGCTGGACTCGATTTATTGTTTTTAGTTTCGGGGTTTTAGGGTTTGGGGGTTTAGGGTTTAGGCATTTCGTGGGTTTTGCTTTAGGGGGGTACTAGAACCCGGCATAACCCTGCAGGAGCTCCGGGAACTAAATTCTATGCTCCAGACTTGAAATCCTCGAAAGCCCAACCCTCCTCTCCTGCCTTCTGCCTCGAGGCAGCCTTGAGAAACTCCGCATCGGCGTCGTCGGGCATTGGCCCCGTTTCTAGCGTGGAGGCATCCCATGCGGGAGTTTGGGCTGCTCTGAGGGTTTGGGTTTAGGGCAGTTTAGGAGGAAGGCATTAGGGTCTAGGGGCATAACGTCTGAGTTCTGCAAGACTCAGCTTTTGATTCTCGCGTTCGTAGTCTTGATCTGACAGTCTAGCCTCTCAAGGAAAAGGAGGGAGCGGACACTTTCTGCGTCCCTAAACCTGTATAAGCCCACCCTTCGTGGAAGTGTAAACATGTCTATGGGACTCACAAGGCAGTGTCAGTTCAGGGTTTGAGAACTCGCGGGCTCGTCAGGACTTAGGGAGTTTTAGAGCTTACAGGGGGTCGAGGCTTAAGGGTTACGAGCTTGGGGTAATCAAGGCCTCACTGCGTGACAAAGATTTTGCAATCTGGCATGCGAGCCGTCTTTTGAGCCATTGCAAAACTGTAAGCAAACTCCCTTATACCATTTTAAACCCTTGAAGCCCAATGTGGTTCAACAAAGATGAAGCCGTAAAGAAAAATCCAAACAGGCTCCCGAGGAGGTCCCGCATCCGGACAGTGCGTTGCTCGGGCCCCGGTCCGTTTCCCTGCCGGCGGTGGGCTTTCGACTTCGCACTTGGGGGTTTGTCTGCGTTGTTTATTCCGGGGTTGATAGGGATTCGTAGGGGTTTAGAGTTGTTTGAACGTGCAAGGTTTTCATTGAGGTCTTTGCTTTATACGAAGGTGCAAACCGTACTAAACATGGCAAGGTCCTACTAAGATTTAGTGCCAGGTTTGGACGTATGAAGTATTAAAGTTATCGCTGGTAAGGCTTTGTTACGAAACCCTGCAACCACGTAAGGGTTTGTCGAAGAGTTCGTTAGTGATGTAAGACTGTCCTCCAGGGTACTATACATGGTTTTTGGATGTGGTTTCCTGCAGGAACCATTGTGGAAGAAACGATCAGGTAAACTTTGCTTGCAAGCCTGTTCCGAACCTAGCAGATGACTTGTCGGTTTGGAAACAGGCCTACCTCGTCTGCGCCAGCAGATCTGTTCCCCGACGACAGCCGCAGCCCTAGATTACGGGAGCGAGGGTTTGGGGTAGTGGGCTTCATGGGTTTCCGCGTAGGGTTTGGGGTTCAGGGTTAGGGCCCAAGTTAGAAGTAGGGGGTGGAGATTGCAAGGTTCGAGAGGCAGGGGTAAACGATTAACTAATGCACTTCTTCTGGCAAACTCCCACATGACATCGGAGGTTGTTCTAAGGCCCAGCTAACCAGTGCTTGAACTGTGCTCCGGGTTTAGGGCTCACAGGGTTTGGTTTGGGGTTTGCAGTATTTGGCGGTCGGTAGCTGTAATGCGGGACCGGCTGCAGCCTTGGACAGCTATAGGAGGGGTCCAGGAGGGTCTGGACCAACAAAACTCTGATCCACGAAGGCACGGAGCCTTCATCGCCGATGCAAGCTGTCCTGGGCTCAACGACCTAAGCGGTGTTGCTTGAGGGTCAGGGATGTTGCGGGTTTCGGGATGTTCAACGTTTTGGGATTTTCGGGATGTTCAACGTTTTGGGATTTTCAGGGTTTTTGGGGTTGGGGTTTCGGGGTTTCAGGGGTTAGGCTCGCAGGGCCAATGGCCCTGAAGCCCAAACCCGTACCTGGACTCTTCCGTAAGCGTGGAGCTACAGGCAAGGGAACTATAGTTGCAATTATTTACATGTCCTTTTTACGTTATAACATTGTTTACTACGTCTCCTGATCCTGCGAGTAAGCTCCAACCCTGAAGCACTAGAGCTCAACCTGACAGTGCCTTTACCCCTACAGGGACATTTGAAGGTCCATGGACAAATGGAGCGACAAGTTCCCTTCGCAGGCTGTAACAATAAGCACAGGTTACTCACCTATCACCCTACACATCTTCAGGGCCATGTGGACAACGCGAACTTTAAAACCATGCTGGTAGCGGTTCGGCTGAGGTTGCTTTGTGGGTTGCTGATGGAGATGCTTTTGTGGGAAGTGTGCTTGATGCCACTATTGCAGGCTGACGTTCGGACATGGTATTCGACTGCTACATGTTTGGAGGCAGAATGTCTATGGTCACTGGAGAGGGCAATCTGAAGCCCCAGATGCTGATGGAGCCGTAACAATCGAAATAGGTTGTATGATCGTATAAGTATAGATTATAACGATGATGGGAGTCGAACGCGATACGATTTAGATTGATTGAGACCAGGCAAAGTCGCGGCCCAGGTGAACCCACCGACATCGCCGGTGACTTCCCCGGCAGAGGAGATGGAGTTTGTGGATGAGGCCCCCCCAAAAGAAAGGGTACACAATCGGGAATTGCGAACTCTGCTTCATGTGCAAGAGCCGAACGCCAGAATGGAATGACATTCAGGGTTTTGCGTCTGTATTTCCGGCTCCTGAGAGCCATCGAGGAGTTTTGCTTGGTTTCTTGGATACATAGAAAGCTTTGCTCAATATCCTGGTCCTTAAAGCTGTTTTTGTGCAACACGATACCCTGATAGTCATTATATAATTAGACAGTTATACTACAGGATACCCCAAAGTCGGGACCCCCAACACCAAAGCCCTAAGCCTGAATTTCTCTCTTGGTACCTCAGGAAGCATATTAAGAGCATGTGTTCGCAGTCTCCTACCTATTTGAGCCTGTAAATGCAGAGTCTCCAAACTCCAAACCTGCGCCTCGCAAAAACGTCTTCAATCGACCACAATGAAACCACTAGCCATTCCTACACGAGACAAGCAGCTTACCTTTGGTTAGCAAGGAATGGAGGAATGGGGCACAATTATAACGACTATTACTACCATTCAAAGGTAAGACAAAAGCCCTACAACACCCTGCACCTTAACCCCACGTAACCTACCTTTCTATGGACTTATATAAAGAAGTCATATTAAGGAGCCCTAAAAAGATAGGTTCCTAAGGACTTATATAAAGAAATCATATTAAGGAGCTTTAAACATGTAGGTTCCTTAGGGTCCAGGCAAAGACCCACCCCCCGCGCCTCCCAGGGCTCGGCCGCTACGGGCCTTCCTTCGGGAAGCCTCTTCGAGTCGGCGAAGCTGCGCCGCTCGGGGACAGAAAAGTTATCGAAACTCCCTACCCATGTAGCTCTAGAATCCTACCATCTTAGGGATCCTATCTGATTATGATTTCATCCTGGGGTCGGGTGTCGATTTTCAACTTTTGCTTCGTTTCTGTTGCATCGTAGACGCCTTTTTTTGCTGTGGGTCTAAGAAGGCGGCCTGCAGCTTCAGAGTCCCCTTGCGGTGCTGGTCGTTCTCGCGGTTCTGGTCGTTGTTCGTCGTCGTCACGCTGGTCGTGGTCCTCGTGGTCCTGGGGTCGGTCGTCTGGGTCGTCGGCATTTTGGCGAGTTCCTTTGCGCTCGATCTTGGAGGCTCAAGGTCACTGGATCGGCTCCGGTGCAGTTTGTAGGGTTGTACTAGGGCTCCAATGGAAGGGCCGCGGAGGGTTTTTTACACAGGTCCAACAACGTTGTGTGCAGAGTTATACGGGTTCAGGATTTAGGGATCCCTTTCAATACTTGGACCTAGACTTAGGGTTCGGGGTAGGGAAGCTGAAGCTTTGCAGGGTTCAGTCTGGAGTTGGAGAGTTGCATAATCCGAAAGTACGGCCTGCGAAGCCCCCAGACCCAACACCCAAACCCGAAATCCTGAACCTCAAACCCAAACCCTAAACTCCAAACCCCACACCCGTAAGTTAGCGTCGTACAAGCCTGGCCTGTCCATCTTGATGGGGCAGACCCGGAGGAGAATGTGTGGCTCCATTCGGAGCTAGCATTTTGTGGACGTGCGTCCAATCATGACGAGCAGAATGGAGTCCCAGCTGCTTCACACCAAGTGTTGATTCCGGAATCCGCCGATGCAGATTCAGATGTGCACTTGACAGGGAAGCGTGCCTGCATCGACCGAGTCATGTCAAAAGTTAAAATCTCCTGGTCTGAATTTGCTGATGTGCAGGAGACGTCCATGCGCAGAAACACTGCGCTCAAAAGGGCGTGCAGCGCATGACAAGCCTCCTCGCCGCGCGTTTGAAGGGTGCAGAACTTGATGGCGTGCCAACACTCGTTGTCAACCTGACGAGCTACATCGAGGAGGCGCTGCGGTGTTGGCGATGCACGGGCCGCAGCCAAGACAACATGTTTCATGCAAGATGCGGCTCAAACAATGCCGCATGAGTATCCGGAGATCCGGAATCAGATGTTGCGAGAAACTGGACGCCAACACACCACCCAAGTCCTTGCCTAGTCCGTCATGCCCCTATCATGAACCTGACAAAACCAAATAGAATCTTTGAGAACCCCCGTTCTTGGTTTCGAATGATCAGGTTTGACGAAGATTCAGATACCCATGCAAGTAGGCCCTTAGCCCAAAACGCTAGACCCCTAAACCCTAATGTGACCCAATCACTGCCGCAAACCAGGAAAACAGAAATGCGCAGAACGTTTTGCCACACTTTCAGGTGAGTCCGTCCCAGTACATACTTCCTCGGTCTATGTGACCTCGCCCACGGTCGCCTGCCTGGATATGTCTGGGGTTTTGGAAGTAAGGGGTTGAGAGCTTCGGGGCCCTGAACCCCAAAACCTCAACCGTGCGCTCGTTGGGTTGTGGCTTTGGGGGAGAGATGCGGCTAGGGATGAGACGTTTCGTAGATCACCATTTCTTTACACACAGTTAGCTAGACCCGGCCAAAATCCTTATTCAGGGCGCGGGTTCATAAGTCAACGGTCCACATTTACCCCGAAACCCCAGCACTCCAAAATCTCCCTTCACTAAACAATGAAGCACCACACCCCACGTCCCAAGAAAGGTGTCATAAACTCCAAAGCCCTCAAACCTCAGCTTCTTCAATGCCTATCTCCCGTTTGAAACTGCAAACTACGCATAAGTCTACAGAGTCAACGTTTCTTAAGGAGGGTTTGGAGTGTTGGATTTGCAGATTGGGGTCTGGTGGTTTCAGGTTTGGCTTTACGGTTTAGGGTGTTAGCCCCTTATTTCGAAAGAACACTCGTCTGCAGTGTGCCGCAGTGCAGGGTCTATGATCGTTTTGCACAGGGTTTCGTGTGTGATTTAGGTTTTGGTTTGATAGAAGGTACCATCCCTTAATGGAGATGGTATCCGGCATCCTAATAGCATGGGCCTTCAAGACGGGTTTATGTGTTGATTCACTTTATGTTGCTTTGCTACAGAAGGTTTGATTTTGCCCCCACCTGGATGACCAGAGTTGATTTCTAGGCAATATCGAACTCATCACAGTCCTCATGCCATTTCGGCCGTTGTTGCGCAAAGACAGAAAATTCCCTTGTCGCAGACACTTCAGTCCACAGCAGCCGACATTTTCGACCCTGATCACCCCAAGCTTTGCATCTGTAGCCTTGTAATCCTGAACCAAAAGCCCTTTGATTGAGTCCTAATCTTGAGGAAATCGTGCCGACGGATTTACCAGCACCCACCTCACCCGCCACTTGACTTGAAAACTGTCGGGTTTGGGACTCAGATTCAGGGTTTAGCTTTGAGGTTTTTGATTTAAGAGTTCGGGTTTTTGGTTTTGGGGCGTTGGGCCGTTGTGGGGCTTTGGGGTTTTCAGGTTTGAGGCTTTCGGACTGTGAGGCTCCAAAGTGGAAAAGTTCCGTAGATCCCTGAATAGCCTCTGAGCAGGGATCAGGCTGAGGGGTTTGTTTCGAAGGGACCTGGCCAGTCCCGAATGTCACAACCTCGAAACCCACCCCGCAATGTAGGGCCCGAGCGATTAGTGCTACTGGTGTTGCGGTTTCCCCAATTTTTCATAGCAAAGACTACCCCAAACCCCGGTCCATTCACCAAGGCCCACCCTAAAACCTAAACCCCAAATTAATATACCCAAGGACCCCGAACTCGCAACGTGCTTTGCAGGTGACGTCGCCGGCAGACGAGGTGGAGACACAGGCAAAGGGCGCGGATGACCTTTAATCCGAAGCATAAACTCTAAACCTCTCAACCTTTGGGGCCATTATTCAATGCTCCTCTCCCTCAAGAGAACTCCTTCGACCTACGAGCATGAAGCTATATCCATTGATTCAGGGGTTTTGCAGGAGACTCAGAGACCCAGGGTTTTGGAGTTAAGTGGTTTAAGCCTAGAGCTGCAAGCCCCAAACCAGAACTCTTCAAGCGCGCTCCGAAGCCCCAAGCCAAGCCCGAAGCCTCGAGCTCCGAGCCTCTGCCGCAGACGATCCGTGAAGCGCTGCTGCCACAGCTTCAGCAGGAGGCCATGTCTGGATGCAAGATTTAGGATTCACAGGATGACTATTCGGCTTCAGGATTTCAGGGTTCAAGGGCTTTAGCGTGTTGCAACAGGCTCCCCAAAACCCGAAACCAACCCGATATAGGGGCATTCGCAATTGGTGCAGGGTTTGCGGTATGTTTCCGGCTAAGAACTTACACCAAGCTCATAAAAGGGGCTACACTGTAGCGGGGTAGTTTGTCGATGATTGGCCGACGGGCTGACACCCCATGCACGAACACCAAAACCCGAAGTTCCGAAAGGGAACCCAGAGAGTCTCGAAGACACTGTGCCCCTTACCCCAGTTAAATCTAAATGCCTAAGACAGAGGTCTGCATAATTGGTACTAACATCCTACTACTGTCCGTAGAGGATATGACCATACTGAAGCCCCAAAAAGCTTAACACCCCATAGAACTCAAGCTTTCAAGGTACCCCTAAGGACTCCTGTGCCCTTTCAAGCCCTGATGTGGCGCCTGAGCAGAGAGGTGCACACAGAGATGCCCGTTCCGACGGAGATGCCCTCCCCAAGCGCAGCATACGACGAGGAGGAGGAGGCAGCTGAGTTCAAGCAGTGGAGCCGCTCTAAGCCCTCAGCCTCAACGCCGAGACCTTCAACGCCAAGACCCGAAGTCACAAATCTGCAGCCACGAGCCTCACACCCGAAGCCCTAAATCCGGACCCTGAAGTATAAGTCCTAGCCTCAGAAGCCCAAAGATTCCTTGAAATGAACCATACTGGGTTAAACTATCTAAGGTGTCATCCCAACACCGAAGCTCAAAGCCGAAACCTACACGTTCGATTTAGAATCTGCATTTCCAGGCCTTTGAGCTATGACAGTGCCGGGTTTGTGCAGTTAAAAGTAGTCTGGGATGTAACAGGGTTGAGTTTAAGGGCGATAAGCGCTTCATGGTTTAGGGCTTAGAGTGTGGGTCTTGTGGGTTTTTAGGAGCTTGAGTTTTGAGGTTTCAAGGTTTGAGGTTCTTAGGAATTCAGGTTCCAGGGTTTCAGGAAAAGGGAACACTGGCTTTTTGGCTTCTCTTTAGCTCCATGGGCGTCCCACACGTGGACAAAGAAGAGAGGAGAGCACTTGTGCACGTATTTTAGTTATTATCGGAACCTTTGCAACTACGAATCTAGCTCACGAGTGAAAGAGTAGATACATGTCTTCTCAAGATGTAGACTCCTGGCTAATCAGAACCCCCCTGCCTGTAAGGCCTGAATATGATATCCTTCTCATGCCTCCTCAAAGCCGCGAGCATCCAAAGTCCCCAAACTGGAGTTTGGGTGCCGAAGCCCCCGAAGACTAAACCCTTAAAATTCAGCTGTGCGCTCTGAAGCCTGGCCAACAAGGAGATACCGCTGCACCTCCCACCGGGGATCGTCCCAACAGAGGTGGGTTAGAGAGGAGGGATGAGGAGAGGTTTTGGGGAATGAGTTGTGGGTTCAGTAAGCCTTCAATGCTTGATGCCCTCATTTCATGAAGAAGGTCTGGAGGACTTCGGGCTGGGTTTCGTCCACCTGCCCTTTGGAGTCTTGATTTTATGTTGCCTCATGTGGAGCCGTGCTGCATCCTGGCTGCCCCCCTAAAAGGAAGAAGGTCTGGGGCTTAGGGCTTAGGGTTTAGGGTCAAGAGGGCCCGGGTTGCGTTGAGAGGGTCCGGGCTGTTTGGGGCTTAGGGTTAAGAAGGTCCGTGTGGGGTTGAGGAACCCTTGAAAGGAACCATTAAAGGGACCCTGAAAGGGACCCCTCACACCTCGTTCTACCATCAACCCCAAACAGCAAGCTCAGAGCACAAGAGGCCAAGCACCTAACTCTAAAGCCAAAGCTTTCTAGATTGAAGGGAACCATAAGGGGAGCCTCCATGGCAACCGCACGCGCAGTGTAAAGACAGTTTTTCCCGAAACCCCAAGCCCTAAACCCCACTCCAAGTGGAAACCCCAAACCACCGACCCAAAGCCCACACCTTACAGCCAGAAAATATTGAACCCTCAACCCTACACCCGAAACCACCGCAACCGCTGAAACTCTTGTGCTACGCGAGGTGCCGAGCCCGACCTCACCAAGAGGGCGCCGTCCTCATTCTTGGCTGTGGGGTACGTCCGAAGACTAGATCCCAACACCACGGGTTTAGAGCTACTACAGCAGGTATCCTTTGCCCGAAACTTTCAGCATGAAGGGATGTTGGGGTTGGGGTCTCTGGGTGCTAGGTTTTGGGTTTTGGGGCTCTGGGGTCTGGGGGCAGGTTTGGGTTAAGGCTATCGGTTAAGGTTTAGGGTTTAGGGTTTAGGGTTTCGGCGGTGCAGGGGGTTTAGGGTTCAGGGGATTTAGGGTTTAGGTGGTTTAGGGTTTAAGGTTCAGGGTTTAGGGGGTCTAGAGCTGAGGGTTTAGGGTATAGTCCAGTCTTTAATTGGGAATGGATTTTTCAACGGGCCTGAGCCTCGTCTTCGCAAGGAAGAGGAGGCATCACGGTTTAGGGTTTCAGGGTTTAGGACATCTCTGGGTGGGAGGTCTTTCACCAAAAGACAAACCACCTTAGGGAACATTACTTGTGGCTCTGAGTTTGGAAGGTTTCATTGGTCGTAGGCTTGCAGTTTGAGCGTTTGAGGGCTTTGAGGGTTCAGGATTGCTTCAGGGTTTTCGGACTTGAGGTTTTCGGGTTCAGGGTTTCAGGGCCTGGGGGCTGGCCAGGGTACGAGGGTCTCGGGTTTCAGGGTTAGGGGTGGGGTTTCCGAACTTTGGCTAAAAGTGTGACACTAGTTCCAAGTTCTGCAGTACCTTAAGGATCCTTGTTGCTGTGAGGCCTCTCCCAAAAAGGACCTGTAGATTAAGAAGCTCACCTACTTCAGAGATTGCAGGGTTGCCGTTTGACAAGCAGCTTCGGAAGATTTTTGATCAAATAGACGCTCGTATCTTGCCCGTTTGGCACCATACTGGAATCGGCCACCGGAGCCCCAACGATTTAATGGGGTTTCGCGCGATGGGTTCGAGGCTTTTTGTGTATTTTAAGACCCGAACCTAAACCCCAAGCACTGCTCTTACGTGATAGAGTCCTAAGGTTTTAATCCCTTGGGGTTTGGGCTAGTTGCGGAGTTCAAGGAACCGAAGTGATGCTGCTGATGCTGCCTTTGCATGCGGTTCTTTGCGAGGATTGCTGCGGCTGATGCTGATGATGCTGGGGCTGGGGTGCTTCTTCGCCAGGGTCAGCGCAGCTGCTGCTGATGATGCCTGTGGTGGGTGCTTCTTTGCGAGGGATAAAGCGGGTCCTGCTGCTGATGCTCGGGTTGAGCGCGCGCCTTTGTGAGGATCGGTGTGGGTGCTACTGATGATTCTTAGGTTGGGCGTGTTGCTTTCTGAGAGTCGATGCGCCTGATGCTGATGATGTTCCGGTTGGGTGTGTTTCTTTGTGAGGGTTGGTGCAGCTGATGCTGATGATGCTCGGTTGGGTTCGCTTCTTTGTGAGGCTTGGTGCAGCTGAGGTGCAGCTGATGCTGATGATGTTCGTGCTGCGCGTGCTTGTTTATGAGGGTTGGTGCAGCTGATGCTGATGATGCTCGTGTTGGGCGCGCATATTTATGAGGGTTGGTGCAGCTGATGCTGATGATGCTCGGTTGGGTTCGCTTGTTTGTGAGGCTTGGCGCAGCTGAGGTGCAGCTGATGCTGATGATGTTCGTGCTGCGCGTGCTTGTTTATGAGGGTTGGTGCAGCTGATGCTGATGATGCTCGGTTTGCGTGCGCTTCTTTGCGAGGGCGGGTGCGGCTCATGCTGTTGATGCTCGCTTAGAGTGTATTTCTCTGCAAGAGTCTTTGCAGCTGATGCCAACGACACTCGGTTTGGAGCACTTCTTTGTCAGGATCGGTGCGGGTGATGCTGATGGTGCTGGTGTTGGGGCTGCTTCTTGGTGGAAGTTGGCCCGGCTGATGCTGATGATGCTCGGTTAGGTTGGCTTCTTTGTGAGGCTTGGTGCAGCTGAGGTGCAGCTGATGCTGATGATGCTCGTGTTGGGTGTGCTTTTGTTAGGTTTTGGCGCGGCTGATTCCAATGACACTGGGTTTGGAGCACTTCTTTATCAGGGTCGGTGCGGGTGATGCTGATGGTGCCAGTGTTGGGGCTGCTTCTTGGTGGAAGTTGGCCCAGCTGATGCTGATGATGCTCGTGTTGTGCGTGCTTGTTTATGAGGGTTGGTGCAGCTGATGCCGATGATGCTCGGTTTGCGTGCGCATTCTTTGCGAGCGGGTGCGGCTGATGCTGTTGATGCTCGTTTAGAGCGTTTTCCTCTGCAAGGGTTTTTGCGGCTGATGCCAACCACACTTCTTTGTCAGGGTCGACACGGGTGATGCTGATGGTGCTGGTGTTGGGGCTGCTTCTTGGTGGAAGTTGGCCCGGCTGATGCTGATGATGCTCGTGTTGGGTGTGCTTGTTTATGAGGGTTGGTGCAGCTGATGCTGATGATGCTTGGGTTGGGTGTGCTTTGGTTAGGGGTTGGCGCGGCGGATTCCAACGACACTCGGTTTGGAGCGCTTCTTTGTCAGGGTCGGTGCGGGTAATGCTGATGGTGCCAGTGTTGGGGCTGCTTCTTGGTTGAAGTTGGCCCGGCTGATGCTGATGATGCTCGTGTTGCGCGTGCTTGTTTATGAGGGTTGGTGCATGGTGCAGCTGATGCTGATGATGCTCGTGTTGGGCGGGCTTGTTTATGAGGGTTGGTGCAGCTGATGCTGATGATGCTCGTTTAGAGCGTTTTCCTCTGCAAGGGTCTTTGCGGCTGATGCCAACCACACTTCTTTGTCAGGGTCGACACGGGTGATGCTGATGGTGCTGGTGTTGGGGCTGCTTCTTGGTGGAAATTGGCCCGGCTGTTGCTGATGATGTTCGTGTTGGGTGTGCTTGTTTATGAGGGTTGGTGCAGCTGATGCTGATGATGCTTGGGTTGGGTGTGTTTTTTGTTGGGTTGGTGCGGCTGATGCTGATAGTGCTCGGTTTGCGTGCGCATTCTTTGCGAGGGCGGGTGCAGCTGATGCTGATGATGCTCGCTTAGAGTGTTTTCCTCCGAGAGTCTTTGCGGCTGATGCCAACGACACTCGGTTTGGAGCGCTTCTTTGTCAGGGTCGACACGGGTGATGCTGATGGTGCTGGTGTTGGGGCTGCTTCTTGGTGGAAGTTGGCCCGGCTGATGCTGATGATGCTCGGTTAGGTTGGCTTCTTTGTGAGGCTTGGTGCGGCTGAGGTGCAGCTGATGCTGATGATGCTCGTGTTGGGTGCGCTTGTTTATGAGGGTTGGCGCAGCTGATGCTGATGATGCTCGGGTTGCGTGTGCTTTTGTTAGGGGTTGGTGCCCCTGATGCCAATGATGCTCGGTTTGCGCGCGCTTCTTTGCGATGATGCTTGGTTGGGCATGCTTGTTTGTGAGTGTTGGTGCGGCTGATGATGCTTGGACTGGGCGTGTTTGTTTGTGGGATATGCTTGGTTTACTTGCGCTTCTTTGCCAGGGCGGGTGTAGGTGACGCTGATGAGGGTTGGTGCGGCTGTGATGCTCGGGTTGGGTGTGCTTCTTGGTGAGAGTTGGTGCGACTGAGGCTGATGATGCTTGTGCTGGGTGGTCTTCTTTGCGGGGGTTGGCCAGGCTGATGCTGATGATGCTGGGTTTGCGTGCGCTTCTTTGCCAGGGCGGGTGCGGATCATGCTGATGATGCTAGGGTCAGAGTCGGTGCGGCTGACGCTGATCTTTCTGGGGTTGGATGGCGCTGATGAAGCTCGGGTTGGGCGAGCTTCTTTCGGCTGATGCTGATGATGCTGGGTTTGGGTGTGTTTTTTTGTCGGGGCTGGTGTGGCTGATGCTGATGATGCTGCTGCCTGATCTGCTCCTGCGCTTGCGCCTGCAGGTATTTTGGGTGTGACAGCAGCATTCATCAGAAATTGAAGCATGTATAAACCTCACCATCTCCTGCAAGCGACTTTTTTGCCTCATCAAGCTATTCTGCATTCCCCGCATCCATTTCTCAGCCTAGTTACTGCTCAACATCCCGTGGACTGTCGTCTTCGATCAGGCTTTCCTCCATGCATTGTGCGACACTGGCCGGGACGTGCCCCTGGCACCTGCCGCGCCGGTGCTTGACCCACGGAAGCTGGGTCAAGCCGCACTGTCGGCGTGGCCGCGCCACAACGATGCGGAGATCCAGTCGCAGCAGACCAAGCGGACTCTTCACCAGTTGTGGACTTTCTTTCCCACGAGATCAGCACAGCAGGCACGTTTGCTGGAGAAGACCGGAATTTGCACTGGTTTGAAGGCTGGGGAAGCTCAGGACTGAAACTTGTTAGAGAAGGTTTTGAAGATGCCGTTGAGAGGCCGTTTTGTTTGGACGTCTTTGCGAGATCTTGCTAGGGTATTGCTGATGATGTTCGCCTGCTCTGCATGTGTCACCGCGGATGATGCTGATGATGCTCCGGTTGGAGTTCTTGTTTGGGCACACTTTGTTGTGAGGGCCGATTCGCGTGAAGCTGACGATGTTCGCTGGGCGCACTTCTTTGTGGTGTGGGTGTTGCTCGCTTTGGGTGTGCTGCTAGGTCTTGCTAATTTTGCTGTCGAGGCTGGTCTTGAGCAATCTCGAGCATGCTTCTTTGTCAGGGCAATCGACTTGAAGCTGTTGCAAGTGTTGCTAGCCTTCGGTAGATTGTCGCCAACCACGGCCGGTGCCGATGATGCTGATCTTCGGGCGTGGTGCTTCGCTGTTGCTAACGACGACCTTCACGGCTGACATTAATCACGCTCATGTTTGGTGCATGTTGTGCACGGGCAACCGCAGCTGATGCTGATGATGCTGGTTTTGGGTCTCTTTCTTTTGGTGCTTTTTGAGAACATGCTTGCATCAGCTTGCTTGTTGGCCAGCTTTGGGGCGGCTTCTGTCAGTAAAGGCGTGTGCGGCTGGTGCTGCTAGATGCTCTCCTCTGTGAAATTGCACAAAATCCGTTCTCCTTTCACCCTGAACTCCCAAACTCGAACCGTAGAAATCTGAACCCGAGGCCCTAAAGCCCTAGACCCATACACCCGCACCCTGAATTTTTAACCCTCAAACCCGACCACAGCATGGAAAGAGGCTTGGGCTCAGCATGCTTTTGATCATGTATTGCCTTTGCATAGTATCTTCTTAAGAAGAACTTGGGGAATATTTATGAAACATCCGCAGTTTTGAAGAGGGATGGTGTTCTGCCGCATAGCTTCCGATACGAACTGCCCAAGTCATTGAAGCTATCAACCTTAAAATTTTTAACCCCAACCCGAAGCCGGAATCTGAATAAAGCTTTAGACCTGACCTGAAATCGCAACAGCAAAGGCTTCGGCCGCCGACGACGGAGCATTCGAGCACAAGGGCCCAACTCCCAGCCCAACCGCTTGGCTTGTTCCAAGTCGGGATTTTGGGGTTTAGCTTCCTCAACTAAAACGGCATAATGCCTCGAGCAGCCTTCTCAAGTTAGGACCCAAATGGTTTTCGGTGCAGGGTTTTAAAGTTTAGGCTTCAGTGTTGCTTTCGGGCTTTAGGGTTTAGGATTAGTCGTGGTTCGGCTCGTTAAACCATAATCGTCTTATAGTCCCGAATGTTAACACTAATATCACTTTCACTGCGAGGCTGCACCACTCGCAAAAGCTTATGAAGTTCTCACAGATGCCAACATCTCCTAAACAGGATCCCGACTAGCCGTACTACAGTGCATGGAGTATTCATCAGCTGATGGGTTCCGAGTCACTGACCCCGCAAACCTTGTGGTTCGTGTTGCCAATCTGAAAATTGCACCCTTTCGCAGTCTTGCCTTAAAACCCCTTGTGCAGATCTCCAGAAACTCAGGGGAATCAGCACATAGTAGTTAAGACCAAATCGGCAGCCTATGCAAGCGCCAATACGATACGCTCACTGAGCCTTCAGCAAAGAATATGGTTGAGCCCTTCTGCGAATGTTAAGATGCCCGAAAACTATGATGGAGTTCTAGGAAGAAGAAGGCTCTTTAGCACATGGGTCCAAAACATCTAAGTGCCCATCAGCCGGTTTATGCACACCTTGAATCCCCCGGCCCCATCGTCTGTTTGCCCAGGGCGTTCCTGCCACAGTGCGGACACGAGAGCCACCAACGCGCGAGCCGCCGACACTGGTGCCTGGGCTCTGAAGTGCTTGTTTACAGTAAGTAGCAAGAGTAAGATGAACAGGGTTTGTAGTAATTTGATAGGAAGTACTAGGGAGACGAGGAGTTACGGCATCTTCGGGGGTTTTGGTGGGCTTTGCCAAGAGCTTGAAAAGGTTCGGGGTTGGAGCTCGGGGTGTTAGATACGGGGCGTAGGGTTTGGGGGGTGGCGGTTTTGTCAAGTTGCAAAATGAGACCCATAGCAAATACGCAAGGTGGCAGCGGTTGTGGTCTTGGCGACAGTAGTTAACAGCATTCTGCAACGTCACATTCGTTCTCGAGGTCACATATTCGAGATGTTGTAGTGAGTAGTGAGGCGGTTCCGTTCTAATCTTTCTGCCCGCAGTCCGATTTCTGATCCGCTGGTACGAGCATGCCGTCAACCGGATCGCGTGGTTTTGGCAGAAATAGCCAGTCTCCTCAAGAACAGGTTTGCTCAGGGTCTCTTGTAGGTGCTTCGGTGGAATATAGGCATGAGCCATCAAACGCCCCAACCCTTAAGTAAGCGTCTAGCATATAGACAGAGCCGAATGACTGCATTAACAGACGGCGATGCTTAGCATAATCAGGGCGTCGAAACTCTTCATAATATTTCCTTCTATAGTCCCTTGCTAAAGTCTTCAAGATATTTCCTTTTATAGTGCCTTTCTAAAGTGTACACAATCTTCAATTTTACAGTCCCTTTCCAATTTCTTCACAGTATTTCCAGTCATAGTTCCTTTCTACAGTCTTCACAATATACCCTTTTATAGTGCCTTTCTAAAGTCCTCACCATATTCCCTTTTACAGTCCCTAGTTGTTTGTATCACGGCACCCACCCGAAACTCCCTGTCTCAAGTTTTCAGGCGACCTACATGGGGGATCCAAGTTGTTTACAGTTTCGCAACTTTTATAACGCTATAGGGGCCTCAATAATTACCTATACTATCTTTGGGGGTTCCTTATTGTAAGTATAATAGTATAATGTACTCCAAAACCCTATTCTAATTCTGAAGGCCCCTACATTAGGGCTTCGTGTGCCAGGTGCCGCCAACCAGAGAGCCTCCGACACGAGAGCCGATGCCGATTCCCACAGAGGCACAGTCTTTGGGTGGAATTTGAGATGATGTTTTCGGGATGAGGGGGATTCAGGGTTCAGAACCTGTTGAGAGGTTTCGGGTTTTTTGAGCTAGGGCCTGCGGATTTCCATGTTGGGTTTCTTGGTGTGCTGGTTGCGTTGCATCTGTCGGGCTGTCTGGTTCTGCCCTTTTGTTTATTTGTTGCCTGGGATGTTCAGAAACAAGGGACCTTGATGACGGTTTCAAGCCAGTAGGCACCTTCTAGAACGGCCCCGAAAGCTGAACATCCGTGAGCTCCTTTTCGCCGGGCAGGTTCCCTCCGAAACCTCGCATCGGCGTGTGCCCCAGCACCTGTGTTCAGTTCATGGTGTAGATCGCATGGCTTTTAGCTTAGGCACCAAACCGTGTAGCTTTGAACTGGCATGCTAGATTCATAGAGAATCCTCAAGCCCTAACTCCTCCTACACGAAATCCACATCCACGTTCCCATGCCCAACACCTTACTATCCCGAGGTCCTAAACACCGAGCAAACCACCCGAACCTTTAAGCCCGAACGGATTTGTTCTCATTTCTATATATGTATATATCTCTAGCTCCCAAACACCAACCCAAAAATGTAGTTAAAACCCACTATCAGGAACCTTGAATTCTGCCATCACCCCAAAGACCCACAACCCCACATCCCATATCCTAATCGCCAAACCTTGCACCTTAATCACCCAACCACCAAGAAGCTCTTACCTTTCCAACCTCCATAAAACCCTTGAAAGGTAGATGGAAACCCTTTGAACAGCCGATAATGCAGCCCTAAGGTTTCGAGTTCTCGGGTTCGGAGGCTCCCTTACAGCCTAAACGCCCCAAAAACCTAAGACCTAAAACTCCGAGGTTGAGGCCCGTGACGACGGAGGCCACGACCATTGAGGAGGATGCTCGGGCCTCCTCCGAGGGCCCATTGTACAGGGGTACCCAAGGAATCACGAAGGGTTACTATAAGGCAGTATACGGGTTATTATGAGGTATTTCACAGGATATTATAAGGTATTACAAGTGTTCCTATAAGGTACTTTAAGGCCAGTGCGCAGTCTTTTCTTTAAAGCTTTGGGTACTTTGTTGGGTTTTGGGTATTTGCTGTAGGTTAAGGAGTGGTTTAGACATTTACGGCTCAACGCATTTTGGGTTTTACGTGTTTTGATTTTAGAGCATGTCAGGGCTTTAGGGCCAAAGGTTCTGCGGGCGTTGGGCGTTGGGGCTTAAACGTTCGGGCTGAGGGCTGGAAGAGGGTTTAAATTCAATGCCCCTTGGAGTTGTAGAAGGAGACGTACGCGACGTAGGGACCCAAATTTTGAAAGGGTATTTGGCCTGTGCCAAAGCCCTCAACCTCAAACCCCTTCGGAATGAACATGTAGGCCCGAGGACTAGACCAGGGTTTGAGGTGTAAATATGTTCGGGAGCCCAAGGCGTAGTACTCCTAATTGTTCCGACACCCAGACTCGAAACCTCAGATCGCCGCTGAAAGTCTCGAGTTCAGGGAGCGCCCGGATGTTCGATGCTCAAAGGGTGTAGGAGATCTTCGAGCTTCATGTGCTTTAAACGACCAGAGTTTTGGTAACTATTAAGATGCTAGAGAAACGTGCAGCATTGTAGTTTGGTGTAGGGATGCTCGAAGGAACGCGAGTCAAACGTCGCCTGTATTGAAAAAAGGGTCTTTTCTCGTAGCATGTCGAAATGTAGATGCGTTCTCTACAAATCACGGCATTCCTTTTCTTTGGGTGATTTGTTAGCAGGATCCTTATTGTAACCCTTCATAACCCCTGTTACGGTAAGGGATTTGCGAATCAGGGGTTTGCATTACGATTGGAAATGCTTGTCCTTGAGATAGTTCTCTACTACTCAGCCGTTTTACTCTCTTCGGGTTCTTCTAATCAAGTGTTGAAAGGGCAGGTTGAAAGGGCTTGAAGAGGATTTGTGGTTTCAAGGGGTTTACGCAAGCGTTCTATAGGGGTTTGCAAAAAAAGGTTATAAACAGGTACTATTCAGATTCTGAAGTTTTGGTCTTGTTCTTTGGGCTGTTGGGGATGTAGGGAGTGCTTGCAGGAGCCTGATTCAGATATGAGTCTGAATGCCACTTGGGGTTTAGAGCCAGGGGTTGGTTTAGGGCTGAGGGCATTCATTGGCGGAGAGTCAGGGCTGTTACTTCATGTACTGGCAAGGAAGCGGGTTCATGGCATGTGTAGCAGGGTTTAAGGTTTTAGGGTGTTATTTGAGGGTTTAGAGTTTAGGGATTCAGGGACCTCGTAGCTCTTGCCAAGAGCCTGCCCCCGAACCGAACGCCCTGGCCCACAACCCCAAAGCCTTACATCACGGCCCGACCTTGCGCCCGAAACCCCAAAATCCCTAGCGCTGCGCCCTGAAGCCAAAGTCTCAAATTCCAAATCCAAGGGGCAGGTGCTTCACATTCTCCTGAACCCGAAGCCCCGAAACTCCTGAACCCTGGATAAGTAGCCTTGAACCTTGAGCCCTTAGTATGCCCTTAGCCACCAAGCCAACCTAAACCGGCATGGGAGCAAAGCAGTGGGGCCAAGGTCACATCGCCCACGGAAGAGGTTGAGGTCCAGGCTGCGAAATCTCTCCGGTATTGCTAGTGGTTGGGGGTTAAGCTTAGTGGTTAGGTCGGTAAAGAGTTGAGCATCGGTTAGATGCTATGCGGTGGAGGGCTCAGGGTTTCGGGAGTGTAGAGTATTCCAATGATGTCCGGTTTGGGTCATAAAGTTGAAGGTGTTGAGGGCTTAGGGATTTAGGATGATAGTGCTTTTTTGTCTGAATTTTAACCCGGTTCGGGATTTTGGTTTGAAGCGTAAAGCCCATACCTACCTTGTGTCCGGGTTCTCGGCTGACGGTCGGCCAACCCGGTGATGCAGATGATGGACACCCTGACGCGTTTGATCCTTTCAGGGCATCTTCATCTTTATTTTAGTGTATATGTGGGAAGGAACCAAATTTCCAGCTTCTATCGACGATGTAGTGGAATGTCTCAGAGCGGACAGGGCAGACCTTGGCTGAGTGACTTTCTCGGCATCTTTGTAGAATGCAGGGTTATTGCGGTTTAGGCTTTGTCCAGCGGCTCGAAACTGGATGCCCTTAAGCCTGAATCGCACACCCGACATGTCTCGCTCTACGCAGACGATGACGATCCACGCGCCGATGCCACCACCACCAGAGGCGGGGACGGGATGACGACTTCAATGTTCATTCGGGAGTGTCGAACAGAGCAAGGGGTTTAGATACCGATTTTGAGCACGGACTGGAAGGACTGTCAAGCAAAGCAAGGCTCGATATCACACCCCTCGCGCGAACAGTTCTTTTTGGCTTTTATGCAGTTTAGTGCTTGCAGTGGTCGGAGGGTCGACATCAACTGGTGGTTCTGCGGCGGTCGCTTTTGTGGACTAGGCGTAGGGTTTGCAGTCTATGCGATTTTGCAATAGGGTCATGGGTTCGAGATTGGTGTTTCAATTGGACAAAGCTTCAGGCTTCGTCGTGGTAGATTCTGAGTCCGTGTTGTGCGGTTGCGGGTTTCAGGTAGATGAGGGATCAACCAAGTTCACGATTCGGGTTCCTGTTGCAGTAGTATGCGGGTATACAGTGCATAGGGTTGAGCCCTTAACGCTAAACCCGATAACGCAGACCCTAAATTTTGGGTTGCAGTTTTTGGAATTCGGGCGGCTGCAGTATTATCTCCGCAGGGCTTCACAGGATACTTAGAAGTGTTCTGCACAGACCTTTGGGCTGGTCTCTTCGGTCATTCGCTCCTGGTTTTGGGATTGCTCTCGATGGGTTTTGGTTTTTTGCATTTAGGGGAGTTGGGCTCGACGTGCATAAGCCCGAGGCCCTGTACATCCTTGTACATCCTTCACCCTAAACGGTGCAAGGAACTCCGGGATTGGTTCGAGTCCTTCCAGGAGCATTGCAGGAATGACCCTCTGGTTGAGGCTCCCGCCATTTTATCTTTGACTTGGTGCTGAAAGACGGAACGTGTCAGCTTACAGTCGAACCTTCAATGTCCAGGGAAGCAAGAAGGAACCAATATCACCACGGAAGCTTGCTTTTTTTGTAAGATTTATAGGGTTGAATTCCAGTGAACTAGTGACGTGCTGTTGAGGAGGAAGGCTTCCAAACGGAAGGCCCCATTCCGAACCACAAACTGAGGCGGAGCGCTTAAACAAAGACCCTAAACCTTTGAAACGACTAGTTTTAGGGTTTCGGGTTTAGCTATTGAGGGCTTTTGGATTCCTCATGTGTGCGGATGAGGTGCATACCGAGATGCCGGTGCCAACCGAAATGCCCTCTCCTTCTGCAGTGCACGGTGACTTTGACGAAGAGGCACGCGGTGGGTCTTGGGAGTTTGGGTTTCTGGGCTTTGCAGGTCGGTTTCAGTGGGTCTCGCTCTCATTTTCCCACTTTGTTGTAATTTTGTTGTAATTTTGTTGTTTCGCAATTTCAGAACGCAGGCAGTTCAGGGTTAGGTAATTTCAGGGTTTACGGCTTGAGGGACTTGGGGGTGACGGGTTGAAGGTGTTAGGGTTGCGGCTTTACGGGTCAGGCTCACAAATTGTTACGACGCGGGGTTCAGTAGCTTGTGCTGTAGGTTTGGAGGAAGTGAGAGAAAAGCCTAGTAAGTCCCATACCAGGGGGCATCCTGCGCTCTCTCCTTCCTCCTAAAGCCTCTTGGTCCGAAATCTGGGCCCAAATTGCTTTGTTTGGCTCTTGTAGCGTGGGGTCCCCGTCTCGGATCCGCAATAGAGTAAGTCAAGCTTGTCTTGGCCGGGGCCAGCAATCTTGGAGAACTGCCACCCCAACCCCTAAAGCCAAGACCCTAAACCCGAACCCCAAAACCCAGTACCGTAAGCGCCTAAATGACCCCTGAAAGGACATCCCGCTGTACCTCCCGGATACGCTGCGCCACCCGCCAGTTCCGGTTCCCACGGAGGCTGGCTAGCCGTCTTCAGGCTTTACAGGGTTGACATCTAAAGCTTTAGGGCTTTGGGCTTGGGAGGTATGTGGGTAACTTAGACTAATGGTCGTCTGTGCAGTTGACTTCTTGTTTGTGCGGGAGCTTTAGGGTTTGCGCGGTTGTGAGGGTTGGTATTTCCGGTTCAACACCTCAGCCAGTGTTTGTGACGTTTATATGTCTACGTCTGTGGAGTCAACAGTCAGCACCTAGGCTGAGGCGTAGCTCCCCAGAGCAACCCCACCGACGAAAAGCCCTAAAACCCTGAGCCCTAGCACTCAAAATCGCTCAGACACTGAAACCCTGAAGCCCGAAAACGCCTTGAACGCCTGGCACCTTAAAGCCCCTAGCACCAGGAAAGCTTAAAATCCGCATACCCTTAAACCCTGAAGCGGTAAAGCCGTAGCTCTGAAAGCCAGGCATTGACTGCACTTTAAATTACCGGGCTCCCCGTTGTAGGCAAATGCTCGACTGTAGCAATCTATGGGCCTTAACAATTACCTACACTGTTTTGGGGGTTCCTTACTATACTTATTTTTCTATACCCCAAACCCTATTCTAATGGCTAAGGCACCTATATTGGCAAGATCTGTTTTGGGGACTGGCAGGTGCCATCGCCAACCTCGCCGGGATTGCCTTTCGCCCAAAGTGAGATCCGAAACCGGCTGAGGATTGAGGGCGTGGGGTCTAGATGCTTGACAGTAGTTCTCCGAAGCACAGCTTATAAACTTATAAGCTTTTCATTCCTACAACTTAACATTGCTATGAAAGGTCAGCCTTCTCTTTGTTTCGGTTGTTGGGGTACTGAAGAACTTCATAGCTGAATAGGCAGAAGGTAGCCTCGGTTCACGCAGCCCTGACCTTGGCCGTTGGTACCTCCTGCAAACTGTGGCTCGACACGCACGACTTCAATGCCCCACGCTGTTGAGTCGACCTACTATGAGGTTTTGTGGGTCTTGATCCCTCTATGGTAGCGATATGTTGTTTGTCGTAGTGGCAGCAGCAGCAGCAGCAGCAGCAGCAGCAGCAGCAGCAGCAGCAGCAGCAGCAGCAGTAGTATACCCCGAAAGCCCAGTGTAATTATCAACCCAGTCGTTATAGCGTCAATCGCAACACAGTATTCAATGCCGACTCACTGAAGCCGAAATCCGAACTCGAGGCCCTCAAGGCAGAAGCACAGAATTTTCGTTTGTTCCAGGACCACAGACATAATGTGTGTGTCTGTATATACACACACACACACACACACATATATATATATATATATTTATGGTATATATATATATATACTTATGTATAGTTGTATACACCCATACACACATGTATGTATGTTTGTCTGTATGTATGAATATATACATATATGTATAACTACAAGAACACGCTCTTCCAGAGGCCCTTGAAAGAAGGGCCTGCGATGCTCGGCCTAACCCCCCAGGCTGCCAAGAGCGCCCACCAGTGAGCCGGCAACGGGGTCCCAGGCCGTGTGCGGGCTCAAGGGGGTTTCGCGGCTTTTGGGGTGATGCTCGTTTTGCGGATTTACGGTGTATGGTGGAGATCATAGCTTATGCTTTTGTTAGTTTGTTTGTTTTCGGACGTCGCTTGGGCGTTGGCTCCGGGCTTTCGAGCAGAGGATCAGAGGCCTTGGCTTGGGGGGGTGGGTTGCTTTAGGAAGTCGGGTCGAGTTGCTGGCAAAAAGAAGGCTTAGAGCAAACAGAGTTCTGTTCATGGCTCGGGATTTCAGGCTGTTGTGGGGGGGCTTACGGTGTTCGTGCTTTTGCTGTATTGTGACACTTTTACCCCGCGTGTGAGGTCTACTAATTCATTCTTGTGAGAAGCTTTGCAGATTTGGTTTCGGCTGATGCAGTCGGGGGAGCTGTGGTGTTCGGAACGGGTCACAGTCGTTGTGATCCGAGCCGGGCCCATATCATTGCTTTGCCTCGAATTACCCAAATATGGCAAGCCTGGCCAGTATGCTTAAGATATGTTGGTAGGCTTGGGAGAGCAGATATGGCAGCTTTTGTTGTGCCCTTCCGCTTTTCCTCATATCGTGTGGTTAGTTTGATTCAAGAGTCGCCCAACGTTGCTTTAAGCACTGCCGTGCCTGCATGTACCACGAAAACAGATTCAACACAGTTAGGTACAAGTACATTGTTGTAGGGTCTAGAGGCTAGGTTGGATCCCTCTCACGCGCCCTTCTAAACGTTGTTGTAGTGCCGGCAGAAAGCTCCTCTGCCGCAGGGTCGCGCGCCGTTGCCAGTCCCGACTGAGGCAGGTTTCAGCGACCCTGCTCTTTCTTGGGTCGGTCGAAGGTAAAGTCGATGCTCCTTTTCGTAGCGGGCCGTGAGTATGCCTGGACTACTCTTTTGGTGCACCTGTGGCTTCACAAGGGAAAGTTGCAGCAAAGGGTTTCAGTACCGGGCGTGCGCAAAATTTGGGCAAGGGGTGGGTCCAGAGCTTCTATGGTTTAGGATGTAGGGCTGGATTGCAGTTGTAGGGGCTCTGGGTCCATTGAGCCTCTTGGGTTTGGTATGTGGGTTGCATAAGGGGGCTTCTAGTCACTCCAGTCTTCAATCTGCCTTAACTCGGGGTGCCGGAGAGAAAGGGGCTCCGCGCATTCAACAGCACTCCCTGCAAAGAACTGGATTTTTTTTGCTTACCTTCTATGGGGACTTGAAGGGTTTAGCTTTGAGGGTTTCAAGGGTTTGGAGGGGTTTCAGGATACTTCAGGTTTTTAGGATTCAGTGTTGTGGGGTTTGGGATTGAGAGTTGGGCGCAAGCCACCGGATCGTCCACAAGGTGTGAAGTTGGGTTTGGGAACCCTTAACCCTAACCCGTAGTATTGTTTACATTGGGGTTGTGGGTGTTTTTAGGAATCCCGAGGTCGGTGTACTTTCGGAGTCCTGTTGGAGATACCCGTAAGGATAACGAAGCCGTGCATCATGTCCAGCTCCGTTTCTACTTTGAAGCTGAAGATAAGATAAAGCTGCAAAACCCGCAGACCCAAATCCTATACAGTTTAGGTTTTAGAGGGCTTACTAACTTAGGGCTCAAGGCTCAAGAGCAGTGGCATTTTCTAAACATCCGCTTTCCGGGACCCCGATACTCTTAAACCAGAAACCACAGAGACCTTACCAACCTATAGGCCTACGCCTCAAGTCTGCAGCCTGCATTTCGCACCTAAACTCCAAACACCAGACCGTTAAAGCCCTCAAGCCCTAAGCCCTAAGACACCAGACGCCCCAACCTCGAAAGCTTAAGCGGGTTTACCTGAACCTCTAGATCCAAAAGCCCAAACCTCAAAATCCAAAACCTTACACCCTAAGGCCCAAAAGAGTCTTTCCAACCCAAAGGTGGCGAGTCCGACCTCTCTCAGAGTGCGCGGGCCTTTCGGGGTTTGAACACATTTCGATGGGGCCGGGGGGGGGAAGGGGGGGGTTTACAACTAGCAAGGGTCATTTCCCGGTTCAACCCGAGCTCGTATCCTGACCTCCGCGCTGCGCTTTTACCCCAATTCTCCACCAGCACCACCAAAGCCACCAAGCCAAAGACACACACCTCCTGTCTCTCGCTACGGAAGCCGCTCCAACACAGTCGTGGTGTCTCAAAAGCAGAGCAAATAAACAGCTCGGTGTCATACCAAGACATGCGGCCGAAAATAGCCTTCAGGTTGGCTCTCTTCGCCCAAATGACCTGACACTCCGAAATCGATTGTTGACCGTCTGGACTTAGACATCTACATCAAGAAGGCGAGGTCTGCCAGCCTTGCCTATCCAAGTGCAGGGAGCAAAGAGACGAGATACGCAGACAGATTAGGTATCTCTAGGCACGTCCTTTGAGGAAGGAGGGAGACATCACCGAGTGACTTGAAGGCATGAAGCTTGTGAGCCTTACGTTGCCATGGATTCTGACAGCCAGGCTCAGCATGCAGCCGCTTGCCTCGAACACTTCCAGTGTTTGTCCGAGTTGCTTCCAAGACCACGTCTGTGGTGAGACAGAGAAAGTACAGCAAGAAACCAAACATCCTTCTGCAGAAACCTTCGGGTATTTCGAAGGCGATGGAGTTTGGCCTCGTGTACGGAGCTTCAGTGGCTGGGGCAGGGGCATCCGCCAGCACCCAGGCTGCGACCGTGTATGACAGTGCGGCAACAGCAGCATCCGCGCCAGCTTCAATTACATGCGGTGCAGTTGCAGCAGCCGCAACAGCTTCGACAACTGCAATTGTTTGCATCTGGCCTTGCCGTTAGCTGTCGGTGGCGCTGTGTGCTGCTGTCGCCGCCGGTGTGTGGTGCTTGCTGGACAGCAAAGCCGAGCTGGCCCAGGGGTGCGAAACTCTGTTGACGACGAGCCACAGGGACCAGGAGAACGCAGCGCGCACCATCTATTGTGCAACTTGTGGGCTTGGAACCTGCTGAGTTTCTTGTGCAGCGGCACCTGGGTGACGGGCACTTTAGGTCAGTAGAACTTTGCCATACTTTGCCAAGTTTGGGGGCAGCAGTGCGCTGTCAAAACATGTGCTACAAACACGGCCAGACTTCGGAAGGCTGTCTGCGGAGAGATTCAAAACTTGCAGCGAGCAAATGGCCATGGGTGCGCTGTATCCTTATTGGCATATATACTTGTGCGGATTACGCCTGCAGATCCTCTGGCGCATTGGATACCTTCCAGCCCACCCCCATCACCCCTCAACCGTGTGCTTGGAGGTTACTCCGCAAGACCGAGTTCTTGCGCGCACTGGATACCTTCCGAGCCACCTCCACCAATCCCACACCAACCCTGTCCTTTGCGGGATACCTTCCAGAGGTAGTGAAAGACTTCACTTGCGCGCGTTGGACTCCTCGTCTCCTCGGTTGTACTTGCGAGGGCATAATTTCTGAAGGTATTCGGTACCTCGCAAGAGAGAGTCCCAGCATCCAAGCATTGGATAATTACTTCCCACCCACTTCCAATCCAACACCAACCCTGTCCTCGCGGATAACTTACGTGGCGGGGGGTACTCGGCAAGAGAGAGTCCTTTTGCTCGCATTGGATACCGTCTCACCCAGACTCACCCACCCCCATCCACCCCAACCTTGTCATCGAGGGTTCTACTTTCGTGCCATACTTACGCGCGGCGCGCGGGGTACTTTTGTGAAGGTGCCCTGCAAAACCAATCCTTTTCCACGCGCGTTGGATACCTTCCCACCCACCCACCCATCCACCCAACCCTGTCGGACTAATTTTTGAAGGTAGTAGGTACCGCGCAGCAAAAGAAAGTCCTTTTGCTTGCTTTGGATACTTTCCGACCCACCACCAACTTTGTCACCTTGTCCTCGGCTTACTTCCGCAGGGTACCTTCAGGAGGTACCCTGCACGAGGGCATCTTTCTCTGCGTTGGATACCTTCTCACCCACCCCCCATTCCCCTCTCCTCGCGGGTTACTTGTGCGGGCTATTTCTGCGGAGTGCACATTCCTTGGATGCTTTCCAGCCCGCGCCCATCACCCCCCAGCCACACGCAAGAAAAAGTCCCTTTGCGCGCATTTGGATAATATTTTCCCACCCACTTCCAATTCCACACCAACCCTGTCCTTTCAGGTTATTTCCGCAATTCCTCTTTGTCTAATTCTCCTTAACACTTGTTGTCGGTTTTGTTCCGCTGCCGTTTCCGTTTTGCTTCTCTTGCCTTTGCTGGTGTATTCTTCATCCTTTCCGTTACTGGTGCGGTCTCCTCATACTTTGCCACAGCCCGTTGGTATGCTTTGATACCGTTCTCTCTTGATTTGGCATTGCTTGTTGACGGACCATTTCAATTTATTGCTGTTGTGCATTGTGATATTTTGCGGGTGTTCGTATACGTCAGTTGTATTCATTTTCTGGCTTGGCACGTTACCTCTTTCGGCGTCTCTTATGTTTTTGAGGTTCTGGATGTAGTTTCTCTACAAGGTTGAGTCGTCTAATATACGTTGTTTTTCTCAGTGTTTTATATTAAACACTGGTGAATGTAAAGACATGCTTGAAATCAAAATTTTTACGATTTTTGAGTAAATTAAATGACATCCGAGAACAATCAGACTAAAGCGACTGAGGAACTCGCCAACAATTTAACATTGGAGCAGGTCAAAGAACAGATGGCGTTGTATCATCGCTGGTATCATAATGTAAGAAAGATCAAGACTTCGAACACTGTAAAAAAGAAATGAAGAGTAACGAGAATGCTATTGGAAGAACAAGGTGAAGTACGAACCCGAAAATACAATAACACATATAATTCCAGTGAATATATGATATTGACAGCACTCTAAACATTGCAAGGTAAACATTTGAAATATGTTAATATTTATCTGTATCTCGTTGCATTGTCCTTGGCAATGTTGAAGACAGTGACCGACTTGCTCAGCCCTGGTAATGTTTGGTCCGAGGCCTGTTCGGCCTCCAACCAGTGAGCACCCGACGAGCACCCGAGCACGAGTCCCGGTGCTTTGTGTTCGGGGTTTGTTAGGGTTTAGGTTTTCGGGTTTGGGTTTAAGGTTTGCGGGTTGGGTTTGGGGCGCAGGCGGTTTAGGGTTCGGGGGTTTCGGGTTCAAGGCCTTGCTGCGCGTATCTATGCGAGTGGCAAATTTACACATTGACATCCATTTTTTTAAGTGCCCAAGCAAGAGAGCAAGAGCGCAACACAGTAAGAAAGAACAAATACAGTAAGTTAGGTTAAAGCTGAAATTGAAGTGGAAGTTAAAGTTGGTGTTAAAGTTAAACTGAATACGGTTACTATGTATTGCAGTACGTAAAGGTAGGTAGGTAAGTAAGCGAATAAGTAAGTAAGTCGGGACGTGAGTCGGTAAGGGAGTATATGAGAAGTCAATAAGTCCATAGGTAATACGTAAACATAGGAAGTCACACTACAAAAGGAAAGCAGACAGATACAAACATAAACCAACCAACGAGTAGGCAAATCATCTAATGGAAGCATACACACACATACAAATATACATATACATATATATATATATACACACACATTTAAGTATATATACACATACACACCCTAAGTCACCCTTAAGAGCCCTAAGCCCCAAGCTTTAAGACATGCCTCGACGTGCGTGTCGATATATTTATATGGTGACGGTGTTTCACAATTGAGAGGACTTGAGCGTGTGTTTCTCAAGCTTCAGGGGACTTAGCAAGTAAGTAGGTTATAAGCACCGGTATACTTACCCTAAGTGCTGCGACCGACTTATGACCTGTTTACGAGTCCGCAGCTCCCTCCAAAAGGGCGCATCAGTTCAGTTCAGGGATGATCCTAAGGATCCCGTTTTCAGAAATCAGGTATATTGGTTCTACAGGCATAGTAGGAAATTGCATACTCGACTATGGGCAGCATATATGAACATGAGCGATTTGGAATCTAGGACTGAGGCATAGTCCGCAATTCGGAAACCGAAGATTGACCATCCATGTCGAACCCAAAACCCAACATGCTGGGAGCCAGAAAATTTGAATGTGCAATTCCTAGTTAGATAGCTTGGACGGAGGTTCATCCTGCGCATCCCCTGTTCAGGCCAACAATCCACCGTGAACCCTAAGACCCTAAACCACTAAAGCCTACACCCCTCAACCCTGGAGCCATAGACTCTATACCTAACTACCCCCTAAACCCTTAAGCTCCAAACCTTAAAAGCCTAACCCCAAAACCCTCAACCCAGGGCACATTGCCGACAGCGCCGACGCGAGAGCCCCCGACACGCGAGCCGCCTACGCTGGTGCCGCCCACGCGGGAGTTCATGCCGCCGACTGTGGAGGCTGTCGTTTACTCAAAGAGCTTTAGGATTTAGGGTTTTATGGTTTTAGGAGTTCGGGCTCTAGGGTTGCAGGGTTTGGGCTTTTGGTGTTTTAGAGTTGCAGGGCTTCGGGTTTAGGTTTAAAGTGTTTGTGGGGGCTGCTTTAAGGTTTTTTCGTAGGTTTTCGCCAGGGTTGACAGGGATCGAGGGGTTTTGTGGTGTCTAGCAAGACTTTAGAAGCGTTCACACCGATGCAGGTGGGGCGTGAGGGTTCCGAGAGAGAGGAGGGGATGATTGGGCTTTGTGAGGGTGTCTATGGGGATTTAACACGGGCTGCTTGTCGGGATGATGAGGCTGTCAAACACGTGTTCACAATGGTTTCTGTGGAATAGAGGGTGTTTGTGTGGTTCTATATCGGGTTCCTTGTAGTTGTAGTTCTAGCCCACCACACCTTTGGACATGTCGGATGTTTACGTTGTCCTTTTTTTTCAATATTTACTCTTGCATTTTCTCTGGTTGCTGGGGTGCAAGTTTAGGGTTTTTGTGGTCCAGCTCCTTTGGAGTTACTGGTTTTAAGTCTCACGCTTCTGGAGTTTGCGCTGTCAGGGTTTAGGGCTTTCAGGATTTTGGGGCTTTGGGCTTATGATTAGAGAGATCTTTTAAGTTTTCACGGCGGGTTTGTGGGTTTCTGTCCCCAAGCCCTCCACCTTAGGCTCAGGCCCCCACACAAGCCTCAGACCCCAGATTGGTACCGAAGCCTTGGGGACGCCAAAGCGCGAACCCTAAACCAAAATCCCCAGCCTGAACGACCAGAGCCTGAGCCCTCGCAGAGACTTAGATGAAGACTCTGCAAGAAGGAGGATATGGCGGCTTAAGGGAATGCAGGGGCCGAAATAGTCAATTAGAACAGGATTTGTGGGGTTCCTTATTATATATTTACATAATATACCCCCCCAATTCCTATCCTAATTGTCAAGATCCCTGTATCAAACGGAGACCCCTGAATTTTACGAGCGATTGGCCTGGTCTCGGCTGTTGGACACTCAGCCCAGGCTTTGCTGGAGCAGAGGTGGTAGAAAGAGGGCCGCGCCCCCCCATGCAAGCACCGCCGTTTCTGGAGAACTGGCCCAAGAACTTCTGTTCCCAAGGCCAAAGCCCTAAACCCCAAACCCTAAGCTTGTGGCCAAAGCCGTCAGCCCTGCTTCCTAAACCCTAAACCACCCGAAGCAGGTGCCTTCAGAAGGCTCCCGGAGGCTGCCGGGGGGAACCGAAGCATTCCGGGTGTTGGTTTCAGGCTTCTGACTTTGCTCCCTTTCGGGCCTAAGGTTAAGGGTTTAGCGCTTTAGTGTAGGGCACAGCAATTGGGGGTAGGGTTTAGGGTTGAAGCTTGGCGGCCTGTTTTCCATGGCTTCTGGATCTTGGTACTTCACGTCGCTATTGGTCGTGAATTCTGATCGCAGCTGGCCAAGAAGAAATGATGTTGTCACTGTACACCACTCTGCTATTACAGTGGATGTTTCAGTGTGCAGGCTTTAGACGCTGCACCTGTCAGTTGGCCAGTGGTCCTCTCAAAGACTCTAAACCCTGCCCTGAACTCGAAACCAGGACGGAGCTCATTTTGGGCCTCCGTGGGAGAGTTGTTTCAAGCAGTGATGATAAGCAAAGCCATCCCGCTTTCATCGAAGATGCTCGTCAAGCTTTCAAGTGAGTTTCATGTACCACTGTAGCAGAGCTTTGAAGGGAGCCCTCAGGGAAACCCCTGGTCTCTTGAAACCGCTTGAACCCTAATACATCGAACCAGGAAAGACGAACCCGCTCGGGTTGGAAGCTTTAGGCCTTCAGGGTATGGGTTCGAGCTGTATCAGTCCGGTTTCTTTTTTGTGTGTTTAAGAGAACTTTTTGTCGTGACTACGGTGTTTCTGCAGGCTTCAGTGGCCATGTCTGTTTAAGTGGAAGACCTTGTGCTGGATTGTATCGGCCCTGGCTCCAGCATCCTACCTGCTGGTTTCTGATTCACGCTTTTGCGCTACCACGGAAACCCTAAACTCTGAGTTGAAACTTAGAAGTATCATCCTATAGAGTAGGAAGGCAGAGAGAGGGAGAGAGAGAGAGAGAGAGAGAGAGAACCCCAAAGGACACTCTCAAAGGCTAAAGGGAGCACCGAATTTAAAGCGGTGTAGAGCTTAGGATCTACACGATCCCCCGACGAGGTTGGCGCATGTGACCACGGAAGCCACCAGCGTAGCGGACGTGGCCAGGGGCCCTTTCCATCGTTGCGTCTTTCGTTTTTAAGGCCCCCCTTCAAGGCTTGGGGGTGAGTGCTGGCGATTTTAGGGTGTGGTTTCATGTGATTGGGGTTTAGGAGTTTGGTTTCTGGGAGATTTAGGTTCTAGTGTATGTATGTATGTATGTATGTACCAATGGATCGAATCATCTGCTCACAGAGACCCATTCACGCAGACTTGTCATACGTGGTGTTATTTTACAATCGCGGACGACGATGACAGCAGCTTTAGAAAGTCCACTAGCAGAGGTGAAAATGCTTGATTTCAGCGAAGATGAGTGTCCTATGTATGCATGTATGTATGTATGTACGTAATCACATTGACATGTAGGAATTTGTAGGATCTAATCTAGGGTATAAGTTACTGGGTTCCCTGTTCAAGGTTTGTGCCTGATGGTTCTGGGGGCTGAGGCTGAGGGTTGTGACCGTTCGCATGCGATCAGGGGTTGCGAGTTTATTTAGATTACGACGATTCTTCAAAGCCGGAAGAAGCGTTGTTTTATAACGGCTCCTTTCTCGAGGGATCTCGGAGTTTGGGCATTGAATCCCGGAAGCCAGCGTCCCCAAGCTCACCAAAATCTTAGGCCGATGTCCGCTTACCCCGATGCCCGAAACCGCTCAAAAACCTGAAGTGAAACTTTAGTCCCATGACTCTAAACACAGCCGAAACCTCAACGCCTGAGTCCTGAAGCCATCGCCCTGCAAGCAATGCTAAGTTAGCTCTTACCGTTAGCCCGGCTGAGGTGACTTCGCCCGCGGACGAGGTTGAGACCCAGGCGGTTCTTCGGGTTGAGGGTTGTTTAGGGTGTGGGTAAGGGTCGAGGGAATCTCAAGCCTCCTGTGAGGGATCTGCAGGGTTTCTGTGAGGTTTGTAAGTGTGCGGGTTCGCGAAACTTCAAGGCATCCCAAGCCCCTAAAGCCCTCAAATCCTGGTGGAGAGTGTGTCCCCCACGGCCGTCACATGCTACTAGCCCCTGCCGTCACATTGTATTGTAGGGGTCTGAGCATTCAGTAACAGCATCGTCTGGCACATAAACGTAGACCTTGTATAACTGTCTTGCAATATGAAGTGACGGTGTTCTCGTTGATCCGTCGGCAGATGTTGATCGCATCCATAAATCCGACGAGAAGTTGATGAGGACGGCCTGTGGCGTTTGAATGCTGTGCAACTTGAGACGCTGGCCCAGGAACTTGCCCTCCCCGATACCCTGACGAAGGTGTTTCGTGAGCAAGAAGAGCACACGGCACTATGAGTTTTCGTGGATGCATCCAATACGAGCCGTTCTTGCTTCTGTACACTACACCATGGAACGACCGTCTGAAAACCCGATGTGCGCGAGCTCGTTCGCAAAGTCTGACAAAGCTCTCAAGCGAATCTTTCTCCTCAATCAGCCAGCCCATTAGTGTAGGATCTTCAAACTCCATCCCATTGTTCAGGAAGAAACCCGGAACTTTAGACACAATGTCTCAAGGCGCCTCCACTGAGACTCTAAGCCCTACTTAACACGCTTAGGGTTTGGGGGTTTGAGGGTTTCTGTAAGGGGTCTACAAGCGTTACATGGGTACTAAAAGCCCCAACCACAAATCTTAATTTGCAACGACAGACCCGGGACCCAAAACTCTAAACCGCCGAATGCTCCGGTCTGCTGAACAGACGATCCGCGCCGCAATGCCGCCGCCGGAGGCGAGCCGGAAGGGCATCGTCTGTTCTTTTCTGGCCTAGGGCTCAAGGTTTGGGTTTTAGGATACGGAACCCTGCACCCCTGAACCCTAATTTGCAGGCTTTTAGTGCTGTTTTAAGTAAGTTGGAGCCCTCAAAGTCTCCGCACGAATTTCTTCCTTAGGTTGATCTCACAGGTTTGTCTCGCGAAGGTCCTAAACGGAGGATTCCGGAATAAACGGAGTAGTATCGAATCCCCTTGGCCTAATAACACTCCAGTCCCATGGTTCACGCTTCTATACTAGCCTATTACAGACAAGCTCGAAACGAGTGGTACTTTCAGCTGACAAGCTCTACCTGCAAAAGCTCCTTAAGATCAGCTCTGATCCCCACGCTTGCTGTTTCGGGATGAGCACGATGTCGGGACATGTTGTCAACAAAAAGACTCTCTAGACGACCTAAGCCTTAAAACTTTCTACAGGAATTTTGGTTTGAGCAGTCTGAAGCGTAAACTATACGTCACGGGTCCTCCCAATGCCGCGAAAAGGCGACTTGAACAGCACACCAGGCCCTGAACCCCACAAAAGTACCATACCTAAATCCTGGACCCTATAAAACCACACGACGCCTCTACAAAACCAACAGCGCCCGGAAGGTGCACACCGAGATGCCGGTTCCAACCGAGATGCCCTCACCGACGGCAGCCCCTCCGGAGTTCGAAGAAGAGGTGGCTTGGACTTTGGTTTGGGGCTTCGGACGTGACTTCAGGGTTTAGGCTTTAGGTGCTGGGGAGGCTTAGCGTTTGGGGTCTTGAATGCGCAGGCCTTTGGGTTTTGGGCTTTGAAGGTTTAAGCTTTTCAGCATAGGGCTTGTGTAATGGGGTCTGCTGGTTTAGGCGTTGTCGGCACCCACAAAAGGCAAAGGGGTCTGACGTTCCGGTTCGTGCTTTCAGAGCTTAGAGTTTAGGACTTGGGGCTTGGGGTTTACTGCTTGCGCTACAGACTTCGGGTTTGGGGTAGGGTTGGCTCAGGGTCGAGAGCAGCTTGCCGCAGAACCTGCGGCCTGCAAGCGGCTCGTAGTGGTGTTTATGGGGGCACAAAACTAAACCCCAAATCCTAAAGCCCTGAACCCTAAACCCCAAACCCTACAGCCTTGAACCCGTAAGCCCTCAACCTCAAACCCTTAACCCTGCGGTGAGCGGATTTTTCCCGGCCAACCCCTGGCCTATGCGGCCCTTGGTGAGCAGACTGGAATGCTGACGGAAAAAGGGGTTCAACAAAAACGAACTAAACCCTAAACGTGCGAGACTTCGATCTCGATGCACCGGTTTCATGGAAGCCGCAGGAAGCTCGTCTTGCTTTGAGGGCCGTATACTCGGATCCCTATGAATATCCCACTTGAGGGGCGGGGTTGTTAATCAAGGGTCTACATCGAGGTTTAGGGAGTTGGGTTGAAACGAACCTTTCCTTGGGTTTGGGAGTCTCCGAGATGAGTACGCAGCAGTGAACCTGAAACTGCATTCAGCTGGATATTTTGTTGCAGGGACCCTTCCGAGACAAACCTTGACTTTGAGGTGCCCATGAGATCCATAGGGCTTGGGCAGTATAGCGGCTTCGGCTTTGAATGTAAGCCTTGTAAACTCCTCGCCAAACGGAGTCAAACCCGAGCCCTCAAACCCGAAACGCGAGGCCTAAAAGAAGTTCCGTGTGGGTCGCCAGGAAATTCCTCTGCACGTTCCCGTTCCGGAGACGTTCCGCCATCCACCTGTGCCCGTGCCAACAGAGGCGAGTTGCTTGATTCAAGACTTTAATTTAAATTTCTCCCCAAAGAAGTTGAGGTCTAGGAGTTACGGATTACTCATTACTAGGGTTTCAAGTTTCCTGACTGATAACCCTACTTGCAGTCAAAGCCTTAAAGCCCTAAAACCCTAAAGCAGGAACTAAATCCGCACAGCCCCAAATCCCGAAATGAGCGTCAGGTTTTGATTTTGGACTTAGCATGTTTTCCCCTCGGGTAAGGGGTCTTGGATGTTGGGTCTGGGGTGCAGTCTAGTGACCCACGCATGCGGCCCTAAACTATACCGCACACTCTAGCACCATAAATCTCGAGTGTCCGAAACCAGAAGGACGTGTGGGAAGCTGCAAGCCAAACCCCATACACTGACTTCCACGCTCATGAAGAAGGAAAAGAGCTCAACAGAAAACAAATGGTCTTCCTTTCCAATCGGTTCGGAAGAGGAGGGCTATTCAGGCAGGCGCTTCTCCTGCGGCAGCGACTTCGACAGTTTGATGTCGAGTGCATCATGGCTGTGACCTGTTGCTACCATGCATTTCTGAGTCCGACAGGCTGGTGGCATTCGGCTGAAGCCTCGAGAAGCCCCTGCAGATAGCTCGGCAAGACTCCCTCGACATGTTAGGCTCTATGCCTCTTTGAATCGACGCCGCTGAGTTTATGGACGAAAAGGGCGAGGCAGTGCAGTCTTCGCATGCTTAGACAGTGCCACTTTCTTCGTCGCCCTCGGAACACGATGATATGGCGAGAGGCCCGATAGCCCACGTACGGCACTGGCGGGGTTTCGGGCTTTGGGGGTAGGGTTACCCTGGAACCTCTACAACCTCTGTCTTAGAGTTCCACTAGCTGTGATCCACGCGATTTTTGTTCAGTAATATGGGCCTTGCACTAAGAAACATGCTGCACGCACAGTCCTCGTTGCACAGTTTTCTCTGAATTCACTCAGCATTTGCAAGCTGCCTGGCCCTAAATCTTGAACACGAATTCAGGAAACTCCACAACTTAAAGTAAAGCCCAAACCTTAAATCCTGAAGTGAAGCTTTGGGAACACCTGATGAATAGACACCTTTCTTTCAGGATTTTGTAGGGTTTATGGTCTTTTACAGGCTTCGGGGGTTTAGGATTAGCAAACCCCGTTTCCTTTGGATGCTGAATACTATCCTGATTATTCTCCTTCCTAAGGAAACGTGGGTTGTTCCGTTCATTGCGTTCTCAGTCTCTACCCCTAGAGCATTCAAACGCTCCACCGTCATATGCCCTTAATCCCTGAAAGCTAAAACCCTAGAGTCCGGTTTAAGGATCTGTTGCTCGGGAATCCTTATGAAATTTTTATACCCGAAGCCCTGAAAGTCTAAACCGTTCAATCCTAGACCTTGAACTCTAGAGCCCAAATCTTACACCATGACCCCCAAACCGTAGCCCTAAACCCCAAACCCGAAATAAAACCGTGAACAAAACCTTTACAAAGCTTACTACCCCTAAACTCGAAGGATTCATGAAGGGGTCTGGCAATTCTGGGAGGTGCCATCGCCCACTTCGCCACGGATGTCCGAAGCCCAGCACCAGAGCTGAGGGTTTGATAGGGTTTAGGGTTTAGGGTGTTGAGAGGTCGTATACGTTTCTAGACAGGTTTCAATTCGGGTTTGGGGTTTAGGGTGTTGCGTTCAGGGGTTGCGGGGTAGGGTTTGGGGTTCAGGTTTTTGGTTGGCGGTTTTGTTGAGCTTTCGAGCGAAGCCGCAAACCCTGAGTTGAGTTCAGCTGTATCTTCGTCTATAGAGAGAGTCCGCATGGCAGCGAGGTCAAGTTCCGGCTGGGGAACACGGCAACCATAAGAACCAAAAAGGAATCCTAGGAAGATTAGAAACCAAGAAATCTAAGAACCGGTAGGAACCCTAGCAAACTGTCTCGGAACCCCAGTTATAGAAACTTTAACGTTGGGAAGCCCTTTAGCCGCAACATCTCTCAGCCACGAGATTTTAGGTTATTTTAGGTTCTAGGGGCCAAAAGGCTCTGGGTTTAGGACAAAGCTTGGAGAGTTTGGGACTTCAAGGCTTCGTGGGTTTAGTCAAGTGTCTAGGGTCTGGGATCGGCTTCGTTGGAATTTCTTTTGGGGTTTGGGGGGTTTAGGCTTGAGGGTTTGGGCGGCCTGTGTTGTTTCTGCGCAGGACCCGACCCAATCGAGACAAAGACTGAATCAAACACTAACCCGTGCCCTTCCCTTTCCCCTTTGCAAAAATTTAAGACCTAATACCCCAGGCCTGATCTAGGGCGAAGCCTGAGGTCAACCTATAGACAGGAGAACCCCCTCAACCCTGGACGCGGAAGCCCTTGAAGCCTTAACACACGAACGAGAAATCCGAAACCTCAGACCGTAAACCCCCAACCATATACCTGCACCTCAAACTTCCGGCAGACGGAAAAGGAAGCCCAAACAAAGACCTCAACGCACAGATTGCCTGCGAAGGTCCCTTGTAGAACCCTGCCGGCGACCCGAAAAGACCCCTTACAGCATCGTGTAAATTAGCGCCATATTGTAGTTGTTCATGGGCCGTTATTAATTCCTTTACATCACACGGCCCTAAGCCCTAAACAGTAAACCCTAAGCCCGAAGCCCTGAACCCTAAACCCCAAGCGATAAACTCTAAACCCTAAACCCTAAATCTTCCACGAGGATGGCGTCACGGCCCCCGACGAGCGAGGTGCCCACGGAGCCGACTGTGGAGTCGGAGGCTGGCCTTTAGGGATCCGGGTTTCGGAATTAGAGGATATATATATATATATATATATATATATATACACATATATATATATATATATATATATATATAAAGGGTATAGGATCTCGGTCTTAGATGTTATGACAGTTTAACATTTGCTTAGAAGTTTCAGTTTAGGGCCGCTTAGGGTTTAGGCTTCAGGAAGTAGGGGTTTACTGGATTGTAGGGTTCTGCAAGGCTTTCCGGTGGTCAAGGGGACACTGCCTGGCAGCGAGGCTTCCGAACCGCCGTGGCGCGGGGGATGCCCAATCACTGGAATACTCATCGAGATGCCACTGTACCAATGCAATGGCTTCTTCAGTCCAAGCATCGCATCGCAGTGCATCACAATGGCGAAGCTAGCCCACTGGCTTCACCAAGGACATGTAAGGGCTTATTCGGACGTGTATGTACTGTGGGGAGGTTCTTGGGGCCTTCAGAGCCAGGAAGAGCCACGAAAGATACACCCACGCTGAG